TGCATTCGTTAGTGCCCTGGCTGGGAATCCAGCCCCCGACCTTGGTGTATCTGAGTTATCTGGCCAGGGCTGGAAATGTTCTTGTGTGTAAGAAGATTCTGACCTCAATAACCTTAGTTAGGCATATTAAATAGCATAGATGGAAGCAATTTTCATGCTTTTGATGGTTACATTTTTAAAAAATATCTATTGATTTCAGAGAGGGAGGGAAAGGAATAGAGAAATGAAACATCAATGATGAGAATCATTGATCGGCTGCCTCCTGCACACCCCCGTGGGTTCAAGCCTGCGAGCCAGGCATGTGCCTTTGACTGGAATTAAACCTGGGACCCTTCAATCCACAGGCCAACACTCTATCCATTGAACCAAACCAGCTAGGGTGGTTTTCATTCTTTAGGCAAGTTCTTTTAAGCTTAAAGTTTAGTTGCATAAATTGACCTGGAATTTTGGTCCATGACTTGTGTGTGTGTGTGTGTGTGTGTGTGTGTGTGTGAGAGAGAGAGAGAGAGAGAGAGAGAGAGAGAGAGAGAGAGAGAGAGAGAGAATCTTTGAACCAGGTGGTTTCAACTCTTCTGCACATTGAGGAGAGAAATGTGTGGCTACTTTTCATTGTACCTTCTGTTTCTCTTTAGGGTAAAGAGAATTTTTGATGATACTGACCATATAACATGTTTGTCTTAGCTATCCCAGTTTGCTCTCTCAGCAAACTGTTAACATGTTTGTCAGGTTTGTTAGAAAGCTTTAGCAATATTGTTGTGTCCATAATGCCCCTAAAAATAGGAATGAAAATAGAGTTACTTAGAATCACATGTTACATGGTATTGAAAATTCTGGAGCAGAATTGGAAGTTTTTTAGTGTAATTCATTTTGTCGGAAAAGAGAGAAAAAGGGCATTTCAATATCGGAGTAAGTCAAGCACGTAGAGACCACTTATCTATTATCAGTAGTAAAAATAAATTCACACCCAGAATTTCAGCCAACGTTTAGGACAGCTGAATTAAGCAGATAATAACATGAAAATATAAAAAAATCTAACCTTGAGATGTGTTGCTTGTACTAATGGTATCTATTGAGCCTTTACTATGTGTCAAGCATTGTTCTAAGTACTTCATATTAAATCCTCACAGCTCTGGGATAGCTGCTGTCACTTCAGAGGTTTCAGATGAGGAAGTATGTACAGAGATAACTGATTTGCCTGTGCCCTATTAAGTGGCAAAACTGGGACCTAGATATTTTAGCTCTGATGCAACCCACAGAACTAGTTAATTCTGTATGGCTCTTGTATTTTATAATCAAAGTTATACATTTAGACCACATGTGTCAAACACAAGGCCCGCGGGCCAAATCCGTCCCGCCAGGCCTTGCAATGTGGCCCGCACCGCGCTGTCATCACTGCACTCCGCTGCGTTTCCATCACAATGGCAGTTTATGACTGTTCAGTAAACCATTCGGCCCTCGATTTAGGCTGGATTTTAGATTTTGGCCCCTTCTCTGATTGAGTTCGACACCCCTAATTTAGACAGTAATTGTTTTCCTGAATGAAGAACCTTCTTAGTTGTCTAGATTACGGGGAGTCTGAAATGATATTTCTCACTAAAAACTAAGACTGCAGTTTAGAGTCTTACTTTTATCCCCAGGCGTGTTAATCTAAATTGAGGGGAGGGTAAGAGGGAAAAGGAAATATGTTTATATTACTTATAACCTGTAACTCTTAAGGCACTTTTAGAGTTTTGGGTTGATTGTTTAATAATAAATCTGTACTTGCTTTTTGGAATCTAAACTCAGCATAAGTATTCAGTCCTAAAGTTGTGCCACTTGTAGGCCAGTGTCAAAATCTAGTCTGGAAATCAAATGAGTTACAGTGTTTGGTTGGTTTTCTTTAACAAGGGAGGAACTTGATAATTTGGATACTTTAGCACATGTTCCTTTAGTGTTTTTGTTTGCTTTTAAGGGAGGATGGAAATATGCATAGGTTATGTCTTAGATGGAAAAGTATTTAATTGCTGGGAGGGGGAGGTACAACTAGAAATGTGGAATGGGTGACTTTTCATAGTATACCAGTATACCCTTTGAACAGTTTGAATAATTTGCTGTATCCATGTAATAACTATTAAAAATAAGTAATCACTTTTTTAATCTAAATTTATTGACTCCGTATTCTTATTTTATACCAGCAAAATAAAAGTTCTTTGATGTTAAAAACAGTTTTATCATAGAAACTTCCAAGCACATCTCAAAATAGAGTACCTCCAGGATCAGCAAGAGCAACATTTTGCCAATTGAGAGGATAAAATGTGGCTGGGTTTGGATGTCATTATTGTATTCTCTGAAAATAGCTGCAGGTTCAGAAACTCTTTTGTCCTTTGAATTTATTTGTGGTTTGCCCCGGAGTCTGTAATTCAGAGAACTATTTTACTTGTTCTCAAACACTAGAGCTTCAGCTGTGACAGTTGAAGCTCAGAATTGCCTTATGTAGTGACAGAAACCCAGAATTCTTATTTTACAGAGTAGTTTAGGATATAACACGTTGCTTTGATATATGTATTTATAGGAGGTTTATGAACTACTGGAATGTTTTCTCCAGTTATTGGGAAGGAAACTATCCATTAAACTTGGAAAAGTTTGAGGGCACTCTACTTAGAAAATTAGATATATACACCTCTCCTAAAACTAGACAGACCCACACAGCCCCTTTGTATATATCAGGATATCACTTACGGTTTATCTTCATTAGTTTTTTAAACTAAAGGTCACTAAAACTAGACTCAAGAAAAAAAGAAAATTAATAACTCATAAAGTTTTATTGTAACCAAATTCATTATAAGTTATATATCTCACAGCTTGTATACTTGCCATGCATGGCAGCATATACTTGAGCTTGTAAAACTAGTTAATCTTCTACTTTGTTACCATGCTTGTATTAATAGTTAGACAAACGCTTGACTCCTTGCCCTGGTGTTCAGTAACTGAACTCCTATAACTGTGCTTTATGATTACTTGTGCCTGAAGTCACTGAGGTATAGTAGGGGAGTGAAAGTAAAATGCAGTCTCTTCATCTTAGGTTGTATCTTATTCAGATCACAGTGAAGAATTTGATAAAAGAATTTAGATGGAATACAGTTAACTTGGCTTAGCAATCCAGAGTGAGTAGGGACAGTGGTGGTCTCTGGGGAGGGAAATTGGTATCTGGGGGGCAATGGAAGAAGAAAGACTTGATTTTTTTTTTTTTCTCCTGTGAATTTTTTGTTTTGTTTCTATTTTGTTCCATTTGAATTTATTATCTACTAAAGGCCTGGTGCATGAAAATTCATTCACGGGGCAGGAGGGGGGGAGGGCTCAGCCCAGTCTGCCCCCCTCTCACAGTCTAGGAGCCTTCAGGGGCGGGAGGCAACCCAGCAATCAGGGGAAATCGACGCCCCCATCACACCTCTGCTGCTGCCAATGCCAGCAGCGCAAGCCTCAGCTGGCTGGTTACCTGAGCCTCAGGTGATCCTGACATAGGAGGCTTGCCTGCACCTTGGGCAGCTGGGGGGCTAAGGGCAGGTCTGGCCACACCGTGCGCCTGTTGCACACACACACACACACACACACACACACACACCCCCAAGCGGGGCTGAAAGGACTGGGGAACTCTGGCGGGGCAGATGGGACTGGGCGCCACCATCTTGTGGCTATGGGTGCTGCCATATTTGTGATGGCGTGACAAATATTCCCTCTTTATTAGATAGGATTGAACAGGGTTTGGGGGAGGGACTAGTCTGGCTAAGGCTAATAAAGTCTTCAGGCAGCCTTTTAGTGAGACAATCTGTTATATATACTACATTCAGACTCCCAGAGTGTTAATGACCTACTCTGGTAGAGCTCTCCTCCTAACAGGTGCCCTTTGTTTTTATACCCTTAATGGGTTTTAAAGACCTTCCATCCTTAGACCCTCTATTTGTTTAGCAAATACTTGAATATCTTCTGAGTACACACAGGAGATCTGATTTCATTATTTTCCTCGTTAAAACCCTTAAGTAGCTTCCTTTGCCTAAAAAATAAATTCAGGGTCCTTTGTGGGGTACAGTTAGTTTATCAATCTGACCCTTGCTTATCTTTATAGCCTTCACTTATTACCACGTTCATAGTCTATATTCCCAGTGTTACAAAAGTACTTTGTAGTACCCTTAGCAGTACTTTCACATTGCTGGGTTTTAGCATTTGTTCTTCTGTCCAGCGTTCTCTAGTCTCCCTTGAACACATTCTCTTAGCTATGGGTCTTTGACAAGGTCCCTCTTACACTTGTTTTGGCACTTTGTAAAATATTGTAACTTTTTTACTTGCCTGTCTGCTTTTGCTAAGTTCCCTTCGATTGAAAACTGTAAAATTTTAAATTTCTTTCTTTTTATTCTGTGACTTAATTTTCAGATTTTGAGGTTTAATGTGAACAAGTAATTACTAAATGTTAAAGGGAGAAAATGTTAAAGGGAGACAGTTCTAAGAAGCATTAATTCTCGACCCACAGGTTGAGAATCGCTGCTGTAGAGCCTAAGACCGTCAGAAAACACAAATATTTACGTTATGATTAACAGTAGCAAAATTACAGTTATGAAGTAGCAATGAAAATAATTTTATGGTTGGGGTCACACAACATGAGGAACTGTATTAAAGTGTCTTTGCAATAGAAAAGTTGAGAACCACTGCCATATAGGCTAGCTAGATATAATTCTTTTCTTTACTGTTTATTCTATCTCTTAGTTTTAACCACAAGGTTATACATCTCTAGTTATAACTAAAAGGTTATAGCAAAATAATCAAAAACCACATTTGTTGGAATTACAGATGGTCCATTATTTGACTATCAACTGCCTCTCTTGAATCAATGTAATGGATTGTCACTGTTGACCTTAAAGCATTACTTGGTTAAATGAGGATTTGTAGTGACGATAATATATGAATATCAAGTCTGTCTAATTCACTTTGTGTCACGGTTTATTAATGTTTGTTTGTTTCTCCTCTAGCTCCAGAACCTGGGTATAAACCCAGCAAACATTGGCTTTAGTACCCTGACTATGGAGTCAGACAAATTCATCTGCATTAGAGAGAAAGTAGGAGAGCAAGCTCAAGTGGTAATCATTGACATGAATGACCCAAGTAATCCAATTCGAAGACCAATTTCAGCAGACAGCGCCATCATGAATCCAGCTAGCAAAGTAATTGCATTGAAAGGTATAAAAGATTGTGGGTTTCTTTTTCTTAAAACTTTTCCTATGTATAATTGACTCAAATACAATAATTAGGAGCTCTTTTAGTGTTTTGGTTAAATAAAGCTACAAAGTTAAAGCTATTACTGAATTTGATTTTAACTATTTTCATGGCTTTTACTTGGCAAGTTTCTATAAAATGTCTTACTTTCTGTTCAGCGTAGATCTTGGAAAAAAGTAAATGAATTTACAATTTATGCCTACAGTGTGATAAGACTGTGCTTTGAAAAGAATAACACCACATATTTTGCTAATATTAGCACTTAAAACATTGCAGAACTTTATGATTATAAATTTGCTGTTCATGCTGTGCCCTTTTTATACTTGTCTTGTATTTAAGTTATCGAGTTTTTAAAATTGCTTGAAATTTACAAGTGTATCTATATATATCAATAGGTGGGTATTTAAAGCTTTGAAATCACGGTGTTAGAGTTTATTCATGATAACTTTTTAGTTGTCATCACAAGGAACTGTACAATCTGTTAGTTTAAACAGAGTTCGAAGAGCCTCATACAGGCTGGTAGTCTGTTTTTTTTCTTTCCTTTGAGCTATAGAGTGAGAATGTAATTAACTCTTAAAACAAGTTTCTGAAAGGGCTTGGTGACAAACAGGATGACTGAAAGAGGCATTTAACTGCCTGTTCTTTGCTTGGTGTGTGTGTGTGTGTGTGTGTGTGTGTGTGTGTGTAGTAGTAGTAGTAGTAGTAGAAAGAATTCCAATTTCTCTTAATATTATATCAGATATTTTAAGTTGTTGGAGTATATATGTAACTTTTATGAAGATTACTTTAATCTTATGGCATAAATACAATTATCTTTATATAAGGAAGCAGACTTTGCTTAAAGTCACATAGCTGTCACCCAATACATTTAATTAAACAATTTAAAAATCACATAGCTAATAATTGGGGACCTAAGTCTATAGATAGAGCCATTCAGTGCTATATAGTGTATTACACTAAGTGGTGTACAAGCACTGCTTACAACCCCATTTCTTAACAGGATAACTTTGGATAAGACAGAAATATGCGGGAAGCCTACTTTTTATTAATTTGTAAAGTGAGAGGATTAGATTAGGTAGTTTTCCAGTTCTTTTTAGCTCAGAACCCTAGTAATTTCTGGATGAGTTGTTGAAAGTGCTGAAAATTTTAAAGTTCTTTTTACATGATTTAAACTTAGTATTTAGTAGTAATACTTGTTGGAGATTAAATGAGGGGAGGGAGAGAACCGAGCATATTCAAACAGATGTCATCATTCTATGTCTAAGATTAGAGTTGATCTCATCCCAAGGAAAGATTACCTATCCAGCTTTGACCTAGGCCCACATGTTTTTCGGAAGTGAGCTTTTTGCTTCCATTAAACAATACATATAATACTTTAGTATATTAATTTCCCTTCAGCCTTTTTAAAGAATTTAAATTCAACTGCTTAATAGCTCTCACATTTTTATTAAAAGGCCATCATTTAAATTTTCTCAAAATTCTTTTCTATTTTTAATGTTGTTGTTATCTTATCACATTTCTTAATGCTTTCTTATGTGTGCAGATGGTGAGTTATCTTAAATTAGATTGTATTAGTTATTGTCCTGTTTTATAAAAAGAATAAATTGAAAAGATTTCCAGAGCATTGTACAATAATAGCATTATAGATTTGTGCCCATGTGTGTACACTAAAGTAGTCATCCCTTGCCCTTTTCCCCAAATCTCTTACATAACATATACTCCAACCCCTTTTATGTAAAAAAAAAAAAAAAAAAAAAAAAAAAAAAGAATAAAAATCTAACTAGGGGTTAGGGAAGGCAACAAAGGAAAGTAATTTCCAAATACAGCAGGTCATCGAATAACGTGATTTGGTTGTAAGGTTAATGAGATGCCATAGAAATTTAACTTAAATCAGTTACCCTGTGGTAAAATCGGTTTCCTTATTTGCTGTTTTCCTTAAAGTCACAGAACCTATCAAGGCCTTACTGTACTTACTTCCTTTTGAAGGCAGTTTTAAACCTTGGTTTCTTTTTATAAACAGGACTATAACTTTCACAATTGTTCAAGTCTGGTTGTGTTTTATATATTGTGTTTTATGGAAGAAGTTCTTACACATGTGGTAAGAAGGGTCATGGTATAAAGCCGTATGTTTTGTGTCCTATCCCATCTCCTCTTCCCTCCACCACCATACTCTCATAATTTTTGTTCTTTAGGATCCATATTCTCTGTGGCTCAGGAATGGAGTTTTCCTTAGTCTCTAAGGATTAATCTGATTAGATAGCCTAGTGATATCTGTGGGCTTTGATCTCTATTTAAACCAAATCACTTTTTGGATCGTGATGGAATTCAAATTATAAATATCAGTCTTTGCATCTGATTCAGTGAACTCTTAACACTCAAATTTCATTCTTCTTTTACTAAATGTTTGCTGTCTTCATTGGATGGAGCTTGAACTTTGTTCCTATCTGCAGTATATTAACAGCATTTGAAACTGTCCTTTGTCTCCCTCTCTTTTCCTCTAGCACCTGTACTACCTTTTCCTTTGTATCTTAATCCAGTTAAATGTAGCATGCACTTCTCTTATGTTCTCGTGGTGAAGGCAGAGTTGAAGTAGATCCTCTTTCAAAAAGCAGTTTTCATAAGATTTAGTTGAATGGGGGATGACTGCCTTTTAAAAAGTAGTCATTTTTTTCATGTGTTTGTATCAGATTTTCTTTGTTCTGTGTACTTACAACTAACTTAATGTGTAAACATTCTTAATTATAAATAATAATATTTCAACCTTGTTTCCCACCATTGTTAAGCAAGCTATTCTTTAGACTCATTTTTAGTTGGGGTTTAGAATGATATAGAATTGTATGCTATCTGTTTAAAATGTCTTTAATAGAGGTAATATAGTTTTCGCTTCAGATGTAGATGTAGATTGTTTACTCAGTCTCAGCTATCTTTTCAATGCTTGCTGCTCTATCAACTGTTCTATCAACTTGACTTCTGTAATTGGTTACTAAATAGTCTCCTGATAGAACCATTTGTTTGGAAGTTATAGATCTTGTTACAGAGCTAGTCTAGATAGACAGTAATTTATCCTGAGCATGGCTTTCTTTAGTGATTCATAATTCTTAATTTTTGTTTCAGCTGGGAAAACTCTTCAGATATTTAACATTGAAATGAAAAGTAAAATGAAGGCCCATACCATGACTGATGATGTCACCTTCTGGAAATGGATCTCTTTGAATACGGTTGCTCTTGTTACGGATAATGCAGTTTACCATTGGAGTATGGAAGGAGAGTCTCAGCCAGTGAAAATGTTTGATCGCCATTCTAGCCTTGCAGGTTGCCAGATTATCAATTATCGTACAGATGCAAAGCAAAAGTGGTTACTTCTGACTGGCATATCTGCCCAGGTAACATTTTTTTCTAGTATTTAATAAAGAAAGGTCTAGAGAACTAATATGTCCAGGATGCAATTTATTTTGAAATTAGGTCTTCTATGCTTAGTTATGTAATATCTGACTTATTTGGAAGATCTTTTTTCTTTTGTAAGAAATAAAGAGAGCTGGCTTTTAATGCCGATACTGACAAAGTTTCAGAGTGTGCCCCTCCCAAGTGTTTTTACATCTTACTTGCAGGTTAAGTGGATATATTGAGTTTCTGTATGAATGTTTTGGAATTTATTATGGACATTTATTGCAGAATGAGTACTCATACACACATATATATTTTTTTAAGATAGCATAAATAGATGGTTGTATATGGGCCACATTTTTTTATTTTTATTTTTTAAAGTATACAACACAGTATTTTATTTATTTATTTATTTATTTAATATATATTTTATTGATTTTTTACAGAGAGAAAGGGAGAGAGATAGAGAGCTAGAAACATCGACCAGCTACCTCTTGCACACCCCCTACTGGGGATGTGCCCACAACCAATGTACATGTCTTTGACCGGAATCGAACCCGGGACCTTTCAGTCCCCAGACCGACGCTCTACCGCTGAGCCAAACCGGTTTCGGCTATGGGCCACATTTTAAACATTCATGTTAAACTTTAATAAGATAATCTTTGGAGCTAAATCTTAAGTGAAAAGGTATCAAATCTACATTGAGAGACTAAAAACGAATTGTAAATCCTTTTAAAGATGACAAAGCAATTCTAATTATTTTCACTAGTTGATGAATCTGGGTTATTGGTTCATTGAGTCCCCAAACTTTATTCTTTTTGATCTGTTGTAGCAAAATCGTGTGGTGGGAGCTATGCAGTTGTATTCCGTAGATAGGAAAGTGTCTCAGCCCATTGAAGGACATGCAGCTAGCTTCGCACAATTTAAGATGGAAGGAAATGCAGAAGAATCAACGTTATTTTGTTTCGCAGTACGGGGTCAAGCTGGAGGGAAGGTAAGTTTTGGCTATGGAAATTATTTTAGAATTTCTTTGTCTTTATGCTACTAATTAGTCATCTAATTTCAAAATAGTCTTATTAATTTGCTTCTAACATTCAGATTTGTGATGACTTTAAATTCTACTTCTGTTGATATTTGTCTAAAATAAATAATGTTCTTTAACAGCTTTTTTGTATCAGCTGTAAGACTTTATTTTGATTGCTTTTACAAGGCCTTAATTTTATGTTTTCAGCCTACTGTGCATAAGATTCATTAGGGTTGCTAACGTATACATTTGAGCAACTTATATCTAGGGAGTCTGATTCAGTAGAGGGAGCTCATACTCTGCATTTTAAATACTCTACATGACTAGGTAGAACGTGGCCTACAATTTGAGTAACATTGCCCTATGTCAGAGCTTATTAACTTAGGCTCTACATTGGAGTCGCCTGGTCAAATTGTAGTACTTTGTATGTTATGATTCTTAGTTGTAGACAACAGAAACAGATCTGGTTGATTCGAGCATAGAAAATTTACTGAAAGGTTAATGGATAGTTTAAATAGCTTGGAATGTTTAGGACCAAGCTTGGAAGATGAGGAATCAGGGGAAATGGCAGTCGTCAGAGCCGCAGCCGAAAGCCCTGCCACAGAACCCTGAGAACTCGGCTCCTACTCTAACTGCAGTGTTGGATGACACAGCACTGCAGTCCTCACTGCCAGACTAGACTCCTACAGTCTTCATATTTTTTCCATGGTAACTATTTAAAAAATTAAGGTAGCAATTGCTTAAATTATGATAATCAGACGTCTTAAACCAAAATGTTTTTATCTAGTTTATGAGGTCTATGTGATTAGAGTGACCACTCAGCTTATGTGCATACTTTCCTTCTGTGTTAGAATAGATGTACAGGCTAAAAAGAATTTAAGTTAGTTCTCTATTTGGGGACCTAAGTGCTAAGTTATAATAGAAAACCATGAGAAAGCACCTTTTGTGGGTTATATATTACTATTTTATGCTGTTAATTTAAGCTAGATTGTGGTGTGATTGTTTCAGCTATTCAACTGATTTTAGAGTTTTTATCTTGAAATAATACACATTCATAGGAAACTAAAGACAGTACAAGTGTTCTTTACTTAGTTTCCCTCAACAATTATGTCTTACAAGCTATATATATGGCATATAAGGAAACAATAAATTAACATTAGTATTATTGTGTAATTCCGTGTCACAAGATACATCCTATTCTATTACCTCAAAGATTTCCCTCATGCTACTTCTTTATAGGTACTCCCACTCCCTTACCATCTCTAACCCTTGACATCCAATAAATTACTTTCTATAATTTTGTCACTCAAGATGTTGTATAAATAGAATGATATAGTATGTGACCTTTTGAGATTGACTTTCCATCCCATGCAGCATAATGTCCATGAGAGTTATTTTTATTACTATTAACCTACCATGGAAATATTAATGGTGAATATTAAACCTATTGGAGGACATTTTGATTGTTTCCAGTTTGGTTAACAAACAAAACTACTATGATAACTACTAAAAGATCTAAGTTTCTATACATTTTCTTTTCTTTTGAACAGTTACATATCATTGAAGTTGGCACCCCACCTACAGGGAACCAGCCCTTTCCAAAGAAGGCTGTGGATGTTTTCTTTCCTCCGGAAGCACAAAATGACTTTCCTGTTGCAATGCAGGTATTTTAAACACAGCAAAGGGACTTTTGAAATCTCTCCTCTTAACAAAATTAATTCAAAAACTATTATTATTCAGTCAATATGATTTAAGTGGAGCTTAAAAGAATAACTTGTTTTGAAATAAAGTTTGAGAAACTTGATAAAGTAATACTCTAATATGTAAACTGGGTTATCCTAAATTATTCAAAATTGTTTTCTTTTTTTATCTTATACATTTTATTCATATTCTTATGTTTTACATAAGACCCTTATTTGTGCCATATTTAAATGTTCTGTAAGAATGAGGAAACCATTAATACTAGCTTCTAATTTGTAATGTAAATCTCTTGCCCAAGTTCTAGAATTTCACCATCTCTAAAATGGAATTGGTCTAAATTTTCTGTTTGTGTATTCATTATTTTACTTAAGTGTTGATTTTCTTTATACAGATCAGTGAAAAGCATGATGTAGTATTCTTGATTACTAAGTATGGTTATATCCACCTGTATGACCTTGAGACTGGTACCTGCATCTACATGAACAGAATCAGTGGAGAAACAATCTTTGTTACTGCACCTCATGAAGCCACAGCTGGGATAATTGGAGTAAACAGAAAGGGACAAGTAAGGAAAACTTGATACTTAAATTAAACTACAAAATAATACTTATTGCCATTAACATTTTTAAAAAGTAAATGGTAACTTTAGATGTCTGAAAATAATATATACCTAAAAACACAAAGCATAGAATACAAAGTCTCTCTCTTTAATCCTGTCTCAAAGAGAGAAACTGGCATATAGCCACCTAGGATTGTGTCTTTATTGTCAAAGAAGTGATTCTTTTTCAAAGAAACTATTAGGGCCACATTTGACAGACTATATACTTTTCATAGGAGTTTCTTTCTATGACTTCTAAGATAAATCATTAACTACAAGGAAAAGAACTTTTCCTACATCACTATTCCTAACTGCTACTAAATATTTAATGTGGGAAGGTGATATGTTACAGTAGCTATTGTGGGGTACCTGGCAAGCTATCCAGTTAGATGGGGAAAATATTAGCTGATCTGAGTCTTTCATGATTGGCAAACCTTTTCATACCGCTAACAAGTGATCCCTTTTCTGTAATTTTTAGTATTTCAACGTAATTAAATATTCTACCCCAGGAGTATCTTATTTTCTAAAAAGTTATTAGAACTTCAAAAACAATGCTATTATTGGTTTTTACTTAGTTTTCCTCCAAATTAATATTTTTCCCAGGTAGTAAGCAGAGGAAGTTAATTAGTAGATTTTTTTCTCCTTTGTTCTGATAATTTCCAAGAAATGGGGTGTATATGAAGAGGCAAATACTCTGTCCCTACTTGTCCATCCCCTGCCTCAACTCTACAACTGCTTTATGTCCCTACAACTTACGTAGCCCTCTTCGTAGCACTTATCACAATGAATTACAATTGCTTGCTTAACTGCGTTAGCCTCTGTTCTTCATTAGGAAAGGGGCTTTTCTTTGTTTAATCGTATTTCTATACCAGTCCTTGTCTGGCACAAAGGTGACTTTAAAAATTCAGTAGCTTTCATTTATTCAGTTGCATGTGTCTCTCCTGGAAAATATCAAGAATGAATTGCCTTTTGGTGAACTAGGTTAATGACAATTTAATAATTATGAAGTTAATAAGCCAGAGATCTTTTTCTTTCCACTGCTGTGCTGATGTTTTTAGGATAATGCTTAAACTAAAGTATCTTGGATAATTTTACTAATATATTTGATATTTATAACTTTGATTCTGGGAACTTAATTGTTATCCTCCACTTCCCCTACAATTTTCTGTGCCAATCTAACAATAACAAAAAAGTATAATTTTGATTCATCCACACCAGATAGCTAGTGTTGTGTTGGCTATTGTCTTTTTTTAAATTTGACAATCTAAGGGAAAAAGGTTAGTCAGGCATTGCATATTTTAAAAATTCTTGTGGCACAAAATCACTGCCCTAAAAAAATGAGAGTGTGATTTCTATTGGTTGAAAATCAAAAGCCATCAAAATGACATTATTACCTTTTATTAAGCACTTGTTGTATACCTTGCATTATACAGTAGTATTCAGCGATTCTTTCCCCTCACTGAATATATAATCTGGCCTGTGGGGGTGTAAATGTAATTAAAGAAAATTACTGAAAAATCCTTATTTTAAAAATCCTAGAGTTAAAAGAATAAACCTTAAACTTCTTCCAGGCAAGCCTTAGATTTTTTTAACTTCTTCAGTCATGTTCTGAAGGTTTTCAAGATTGCTTTCCTTACGAATTTACCAATCATAATGAATTGTCTTACAGAGCTCATTTAAACGGATGGTAGCAAAGCAATTAGAGTTCGGACAGTATGAAATAGGGAGCTATTTATATTACAGAATAGCCATATTTTAGGCACTCCAAATGGGGGTTAGCACCTCAGTTTTCTCATTTATTGCCTCTTTTTAAAAATTTTTATATTTTTATGACAAAAAAAAGCAATTGTTACAATTTTAATATCTTTGTGACTCAGTAGTAATCAGCTCTAAGCAGATTTAGTATCATTGATATCCAAATTAATACATTGCAACTATTCATTGATCTTTAAATTGCAGGTTCTGTCAGTATGTGTGGAAGAAGAAAACATAATTCCTTATATCACCAATGTCCTACAAAATCCTGATTTGGCTCTGAGAATGGCTGTACGTAACAACTTAGCTGGTGCTGAAGAACTCTTTGCCCGGAAATTTAATGCTCTTTTTGCCCAAGGAAATTACTCAGAGGCAGCAAAGGTGGCTGCTAATGCACCCAAGGTAAATAGCCATGAAAATGAATTTGCTATGATTAGATTAATGTTTTATATGCTTTATTCCTACTGTTAGAAATGGAGCCAACTTTCCATGGAGAAACTAGTCGTCTTTAGGTTGCATTCTTTCTGTGGTAGATTGAGTTCCTTATTGGTGCCTTTAGATTTGCTTAATTATTCTTTAGTTTTGGTTAGCTTTTTAAAACTAAGAATGTTAGAAAGATAAATAGATCTAACAAGCTATGGTTTATATAGATGTAATGATGTTTAGTTACTTAGTTGTAATACTGTTTGACCTTGTCAGTGATAGTTACCAATTTTCCCCCCTGAGTAAAGCTTTGTTTTCATTTGGTCCACAGCTTGGGAGAGGGCATTCAGGGTGATTAAAAAGCTGCCTAGAACTTCAGGAAGAGGCTCAGGCAGAAGCCCTGACACCACGGGGGTGCCAGTGGGTCCCTCAGAGGCCACTGGGCTGCAGAGGCTCCTAGTCATGCTTAGAAAGTGAATTTAGCTCAGTTTAGGGGCCAGCCAGCTTTCAGAGGTTAGTTAGGTGGTCATCCATCTTGATGAATTTCACCTCCTCATCTAGGAAGTGGCTCTATAAGAAGTCACCGAGATATGGGTGTCTGTCTGGGCCGAATCCAGAGCATGCAGATCCAATAGGGCCTGGTTCAGGTTCTTCTCGAGGACTGTGGTTTTACCACAGTCAACCTGTGACATCTCTTACTGTCCTGGAAGAAGGCATGGGCACTGTGCTGGCTTTGCATCTTCAAGAGACACTTGGTGCCCTCCACTTCTCCAGCCAACTCATGGAAAAAGTGGCCCATGCCTTCCAGAGCCACATCTTCACATTTGAAATAGAAGCCCAGAAGAGAGGTAGGTGTGGGAGGCTCACAGATGAAGGTTAACCAGGCGGTTGTCAGTGGCTTCCATCTCTGTGGAACAATTTTGACAAATCTTGGAGTCATGGTGTATCAACAATAAGGAGCTAAGCTCAAAAAAAAAGGTGTTGGGTGGTCCTGGAGGCAGAGGATGGCTGAGAAGATGGTTCCAAAGGTTGCAGCTGGAAAAGAGGTTAGAGCGTGGTTGGGGCTGGAAGAAGGGATGTCCACGGGTCTGTTCTGTTCAAACACTGTTGAAACAAGAGGTTGGACCACAGGGCACACGGTTTGGTAGTACTGAATTTATTTCCCAAAGTTTAAGGATTTTAACAGATCCTATTACATTTATGGTAAAAAGAGTTGTCTGAAATTGAGCTGAGTTTCTTCTCATCACCTCTGAATTATGTTGAATGAATTAACATCTTATATCCTGATCACTATTAGGAAATTTGCACTTAACACGAACCTGGAATAATAGCTAACTGTAACTACTTTATACTTACTCTGTTACACATTGGCATTGTAATTAGGTTGTTATGTTTCTGATTCTGAATAACCTTATCACACCTGGCCAGGGGTGTGAACAGATGTTGACTGAATCTTTATTACTCAACATATTGAAGATTTTATTCTATTTAACTTATTGAAGATTTTAAATTTGGTCTTAGTAGATGGAATCATGCTTTTATGATTGACTTAAGAGACCCATGGAGTTAGTGTGATGTTGGATCTCCTTTAAACGGAGTCTTTACCATTTCTGTTTCTTAAAGGGAATCCTCCGAACCCCAGACACCATCCGTCGATTCCAGAGTGTCCCAGCCCAGCCAGGACAAACTTCTCCTCTACTTCAATATTTTGGCATACTTTTGGACCAAGGCCAGCTAAACAAATATGAATCCTTAGAATTGTGTAGGCCTGTACTTCAGCAAGGACGGAAACAGCTTTTGGAGAAATGGTTAAAAGAAGATAAGGTATATTAACTTCAATTAACATACTTTTGCTTTGATTGTCTTAAATACCAAATTAGCAAGTTATAAACATCTAGGCTGCCCCAAAATATCTGTATGTATTGTTAATGCTTGTAGGAATAGAATAAGAGCAGACATTGTATGAGATGGATAAACTTACTTTTAAAACATATAGAGATAGGATATCTTTGTTTAGTATTTTATTTTATTTATTTTTTAAACATATTTTATTGATTTCGTACAGAGAGGAAGGGAGAGAGATAGAGAGTTAGAAACATCGATGAAAGAGAGTCATCGATCAGCTGCCTCTTGCACACCCCCTACTGGGGATATGCCCACAACCAAGGTACATGCCCTTGACTGGAATCGAACCGAGGACCCTTCAGTCCCCAAGCTGACGCTCTATCCATTGAGCCAAACTGGTCTTGGCTGTTTAGTATTTTAAATGGAATTCAGAATTTGTGCTGGGTAGTTAGAACCACTAACCTGGAAGCAAATTGCTTTTTGCTTCAGGAAAAGCTTAGTGTGAGACACTTCAGTATGTGTTCATATTTGTCAATATATATAACATTCATTTGTATATAAGAATATATTCCTATCTCTCACATCCCACATTTAATATGCACAGTATTTTCAATCATTCAAATATATCTTTTCTTTGAGAAATTCCCAAGTATCATCACAATGGTGGTATTTGCTAGTAGTAACTATGTTTGGGTGTGAGAAATATGTTATATAAATTGTTGGACCATAGATATGTTAATAAGACAGCAGGGCTAATTAGCAGTGATAAAAATTCCCAGAGAGATTTCACAGTATGTAAATTAGCATTACATGGGAAAATATTTAACTCAGTTTCTTGAAATTTATTTAAATATGAACCTTTAAAAAATGTTAACCAGCTTTCTTTACTGCAGGATTTCTCTGTGCTTTTTATATTCATTCATACTTAACTGATTTCTTTTCACATAGAACATCTAATTGCATTTTGTTTTCTAGAGCACATTATGGAAAATGTTGCTTATTTGCAAGGCAGTTAACAAGTTTGAATAATCCATCAGTGTTTTTATTCCCTTTATACCAACATAAAAAAGCCTTTCTCGATAAAGTGGCAATATTGAATTGCCATTTCTTAAGCTATGTCAAGAATAAGGTGGTACTATTTAAAGCACTCTGAGTAGTGAATAATTTAATGTTATACTTTTCAGTGTTCGTGTATGTTGGTAGTATTTTTACGTGCCTAATTCTAAGTCCTTGTTTCTTAATCAGGCAGTCTTATAGGATACTGGAGATAGTACATCAGAGTTGGGATGCTTGGATAGGAGTCTGCTGAGGAACAGTTAATGACCACAATAGCGAGTATTTGAGGTCCATCTCAATTGTTTAAGATAAGGGATGATGGTGATAGCCAAGGTAACTGAGTTGACCTATATAACAGTGTGAAAGCTTTCTGAATATTACCTTTTTTTTTTTTGTGAATGGTCATATGGGATCTATTTGTAGTAAAAGGGATAGTAGTCAACTCTTCATTAATTAGCAGGTTTAGTTAAGAGATATACTTCAATACAACTTCTCCATACTGAAGATCAATGATAAAGGCTATTCTCTGACATAGCCACATAGCCATTTAAAGTAGAAAATCAACTCTTAATATGTAAAGCAAAACTCTTAGGGAAACTTCTTTCTAGCCTGGGCTGCTGACTAAGGCAGGTTGAATGTATAGAGAAGGGAATCTACCTATTTACCACCTAAAAATTCAGTCTTTTTTATCTGTTTGACCTTGTGAAATTAGAGTGTCCTGCTTTGTAACCTTAAATCCAAAAGTCAAGAAGATAATGGAGCTTAGGTTCTTCAGACATAAAAATTATACCCTAATTTTAATAATGGTGCTTATGGTAAGCCTCAACTGGTAACTTAGTATCAACTTTTCGTTTTATAACATTACATTTAAAGTTACTTTATTTTGATGTTAATCAGCTTAACAATAACCCACAACCTTCGGACCAATTTAAAGTTACTTTATTTTGAAAAAATTGGACCATGTGGGTCAGATGTCTGAATATTCTTAATAGTACAAGATTCTGCTTTTTAAGTATTTACATTTCTAACAAGGCATTTGGTAATATCTGTATGTATAAAATCTTGTTGGACTTTTTTTCTTAATTGGGATGTGTGAAAATTCTACTGAGACATTGGTATGGATACATAATCAAGAATCTTTACTAACCTCAACCCCTGAATACTTGTAATATATTCTAGGACAATTGAGTAACTGTTATCATATTATTTATAGTGGAAGTAGTGTTAGCTGCTCATTTATGAAAACTTATGAATTACTAACCAATCTCTATTTTTCCTCTGGACAGCTGGAATGTTCTGAAGAACTAGGTGACCTTGTGAAATCTGTGGACCCTACTTTGGCACTTAGTGTGTACCTAAGGGCTAATGTCCCAAATAAAGTCATTCAGTGCTTTGCAGAAACTGGTCAAGTTCAGAAGATTGTTTTGTATGCTAAAAAAGTGAGTTCAATGAAACAAATTCTCAACAAAAAAAAATTCATTAAAACATTAAAGAGAAATTAGCCTGTAGAAACTCTAAATGACTTTAATAGTGAATATCCTTAAATTTTTAGTTACTGGGAAAAGTATAAAAGCCCTATTTTAGTCCCACATAGAATTACACTTATTAAAAAATAGAGAATTACTCTTATACAGTTTACTAGAATTTAAAATATCAGGAGCATGCTTAACCTGTTAGAAAAAAAAACAACTTTTTAAAATAGTCATTCATCAAAAATGAAGAAGCCTATTATAAAAATTTACAGCTATTTAATCATCTGTTTGCCTAATATAAACCAAGACCAAACTGAACATCTTAAAACTGAAAATGTACTTCCATCAGTAGTTTTATATTAGTTCTATATTAGTAAGATTCTGTTGCAGAAAAACAACCTTTAAATTATATAAAAAGGAAACTTTGTGGTGGGGTTTAAATTTTTATCTATTTGTAGGTTGGATACACTCCAGATTGGATCTTTCTGCTGAGAAATGTCATGCGTATCAGTCCAGATCAGGGACAGCAGTTTGCTCAAATGTTAGTTCAGGATGAAGAACCTCTTGCTGATATCACACAGGTAAAGAAATGAAAATGTATTGGTAGAAGTTAATTTAAATAGAGAATGTGGGGATTTGAGTTTAAACAATTCGGAGAAGAATGGGTTAATCATTTAATTTCTAGAAATTAAAGCTTTGTCTTATATACATATACAGAAAAAAGCAAGTTGCAGACAAATGGATAGTATGGTACCATCTATATACGGGTTTGTTTTTTTTAAATCCTCACCAGAGAACATGCTTTCATTGATTTGAGAGACACACACACACACACACACATCAATGTGAGAAACACTGGTTGGTTGCCTCCCATATGCACCCTGACTAGGGATTGAACCCGCAATCCAGGCATGTTCCCTGACTGGGAATCAAACCTGTAATCCTTTTGGTGCTTGGGATGACGTTCCAACCAACTGAGCCACCTGGTCAGGGCTCTATATACAGTTTTAAAACAAACAAAATGGACTTCTTGTTTAGAGATGTATAGGTAGATATATGAAAAATATAGGAGAATAATAGTTGTTTTTACCAGAACTAAAAGTAACTCCACAAAACAAAAATAGTTCTTTTTTTACTCTCACCTGAGGATATTTTTTCCATTGCTTTTCAGAGAAAATGGAAGTGTGGGGGGAGAGAAACATTGATGTCACAGAGACACATATACTGATTGCCTCCCACACTCACCCCGGCGGGTACATGCCCTTAACCGGGAATCAAACCTGTGACCGACATTCTAACCACTAAACACACAGGCCAGAGCTTTCTTTTTTGAAAATTTGATTTGAGAGAGAGAAAGAGACGGAAACAGAGAGACATCGATTTGTTTGACTTACTATGTATTCATTGGCTGATTCATATATGTGTCCTGACCAGGGATCAAACTCAGAACCTTGGCATATTGGGATGATGCTCTAAACCCGTCGCCAACAAACTACGGCCCTTTGGCGCCTTGAGTGTAGCTCTTCCACAAAATACCACGGAATCTAGCCCACAACCCAAGCATGTGTCCCTGACCAGAATTAAACCAAGGACCCTTCAGTCTGCAGGGTCCACTGAGCCAAACCGGCTAGGGCCCAGAAATTTGTTTTTAAATTATGAAGTTAAACTGTCCAAATAACATTTTTTAAGTCTGGGGTTTGTTTGGTCTGGCAATTTTTTATATGTAAAACAAATGAGATAATGTTTAATTTCCTTTCATTTACATATTATCCACAGTATCATAAAGCCACTTTTAAACATCTCAACATTCTTTAAATCTTTTTGCAGATTGTGGATGTCTTTATGGAATACAATCTAATTCAGCAGTGTACTGCATTCTTGCTTGATGCCCTGAAGAATAATCGCCCATCTGAAGGTCCTTTACAGACTAGGTTGCTTGAGATGAACCTTATGCATGCACCTCAGGTATATGTGTTCATACTTTTAAGGTGTTTTCAACACTCTTTTAGTATTTACTCATTGCTTCTTAGATTGTTATTTGAAGCAACTGAGATGACTATTCTTTAAGAAAATTTACTTAACAACCCTTTATGAATTAGATGTTGGATCTTTATATGTAATCTGGATGTAGAATTACAAATATAAATGGGCTGGTAAACTAAACTTATCCTGTTTGTGGTTTTACAGGTTGCAGATGCTATCCTAGGGAATCAGATGTTCACGCATTATGACCGGGCTCATATTGCTCAGCTGTGTGAAAAGGCTGGCCTACTGCAACGTGCATTGGAACACTTCACTGATTTATATGATATTAAGCGTGCAGTTGTTCACACCCATCTTCTTAACCCTGAGGTATTTCATTTTCCTACCTAATGGGTGGTCTTAGATATGATTAAACAGTATACTGAAAATGTGTTTGTGGTACTGAATGATGATAATTTCATATCACCATTAGGTTCAGTTTTATTTCATTTATATACTTATTTATTTATTTTGTCCTCTAGTGGCTAGTGAATTATTTTGGATCCTTATCAGTAGAAGACTCCCTAGAATGCCTCAGAGCCATGCTGTCTGCCAATATTCGCCAAAATCTGCAGATCTGTGTTCAAGTGGCTTCTAAGTATCATGAACAACTGTCAACTCAGTCTCTGATTGAACTGTTTGAATCTTTCAAAAGTTTTGAAGGTAATTAGGAATTTCTGAGTTGTTTTTTAATTAAGATAACCAAAAGGGGTATTATTATGTTCACAGGCTATTAGAAATTTTATCTCCCCAAGCTTAATTTTATGGGACAATAGATGTTGTCGAGTATCTTTTATGTTAGATTCTAGGGATCTGCAGTGAACAGATTGCTTGCATATTTTATAGATGAAATAAAAGCAGACTTTTAAGATACAAATATATATATGTGTGTGTGTGTATATATATATATATATATATATATATATATATATATATAGTGGCTTTGTAATAGTTGTGTAAAATGAAAATACTAGTGACTAGTGATCAGGTATGATAAATTTTCATGCTATGTTGTTTGACTCTTATAATGGCAAATGTTTCTAACCAAGGATGTTTTGTGACTTGTCATTATATTCAGCTGGTTTGTATAGCTTCAGCACCTCAGACCTTTTGGGCTGGATAACGTATGGTGGGCGGGTGTATGTAGGATTCTTAGCAACATCTCTGGCTTCTACTCACTAAGTGCCAGTGTGGTTCAGCGCCACCAGTTGTGACACAAAAATATCTCCAGACATTGCCAAATGTCTCCTGGGAAGAAAATCACCCCCAGTTGAAAACCACTGCTGTATTGAGTACTAATGTAATCACTGTTGGGTGGCTCTTGGGTTCATTAGATAAACTTCTGGTCCCAGTTACCTTTTTCCCCTCTTTTTGTAGTATTGCTCTAGACAGAAGGAATAAGATTTCTACTAGTTCTCTGTTTCTGTATGTTAACTATGCACTAAATTTATACTACTTTATTCAGTACAGTAACCACTAGCCACATACAGCTATTTAAATTTGAAGAAATTAAAATGAATATAATTAAAAATTTAGTTCTTCAGTCACACTAGCCACATTTCAAGTGCTTGATAGCCACACGTGGTTAGTGGCTATTGTATTAACAGCACTGCATTAAATTCTCTTCAAACTACTTTTGTATGTTTCCTATTAACTGCCTATGGAAAAACACCTGCTATAAGCGTCTTCGTTTAAAACTTGTCATATGGAATATGATGTGATAATTAGTTTGGTATTAAGTAGCTGCCTCCTATTTATTATTAGAAAACATTGGGTTGAATTTTCTATTGTTGTTTTGTTTTAAGTATATTTTTATTGATTTCAGAAAGGAAAGGAAAGGAAAGGAAAGGAAAGGAAAGGAAAGGGAGAGAGAGAGAGAGAAACATTAATGATGAGAGAGATGAAGCCCATAGCCTGGGCATATGCCCTAACCAGAAATCGAACCATTACTTCCTGGTTCATAGGTCGATGCTAAACCACTGAGCACGCTGGCCATGCTCAATTTTCTGTTTGTTTGTTTTGTTCAAGATTAAGGTGCAAATCCCTTTATTGAACTAATTACTAGATTAATTCATATTCTTATGGAGTTTTTTGAGCAACCAGTTTTTACTTGGGAGTGTTGAGTATGTGCTTATTTTTTATAAAATTGAAATAACATGTTTTTTAATTGCTTAAATATTATACAGTTCTGTTATTCTTAAAAGTGCACCTGTACTTAATTTCAATTATCTGTTTTTTAAGGTCTCTTTTATTTTCTGGGATCCATTGTTAACTTTAGTCAGGACCCAGATGTGCACTTTAAATATATTCAGGCAGCTTGCAAGACTGGGCAGATCAAAGAAGTAGAAAGAATCTGCCGAGAAAGCAACTGCTATGATCCTGAGCGAGTCAAGAATTTTCTCAAGGTAAGTGATTTTGAGTAATGCAGTTTCTGGTTGGGTTGAAGATCAGCAGTTCTGCAAGGGTTTGGTTAGTTTAAAAAAAAAAAAAAAGTTCCCCTAAATGTAAAATTCTTAACATTCTGAAATCATGTGCTGAATTATTTCTTCCAAATTTAATACTTTGTGGTTTCCTTTGAAATAGGGAAGGAAATTGGTAAGTAATACTTAAGAATTAGTCCATCTCTTTAAAAGAAGAAAAAAATTGCACTATCTTAAAGATGTCCTTTCTTTCACTTTGAAAATGATTTTAGATATTCGGTGTCATTTTAGAATATCATTTAGTCTCCTTTTGAATATTACAATCATTTGCCTTTTGTCTCATTTTAAGGAGTCTCTACTGCATATATAACAGGTTTATTTCTGTCATCAAATTAGCCTGACTCTGGAAACTAAATATTAATCATGTGTAATTCATAAATTGAGAGTAAGAGTAAACAAAAAACCTCAGATTTGTGACACAGGAATTTAGTTCTAGAAAAGAAAGAGCTGCCTATGTTGAAGTGAAGAGTAATGGTTTAAAGATTCTTAGCTCTTTAAAGTATACCTGAGGGCAGTTAATGTTGTTTAAAGTTCAACTTAACTTTACCTTTATTCTCATTCCTACTTGTTACTTTTACAGGAAAATAAAACTTTAAAATGTTAGTTGCCTCTAAAATTCAGGAAGACTATAGAACAGTTTATCTCCCTAAACATTTATTTATATATATGAAATGACTCCAGAACAATATAAAGTTCTTGAACATTTTTTTTTTGTCTTTTGGAAGAATTTTAGATTGAAACTAAAACCAAAATGTTTAATGTATAATTCAGTAGAAAAAATAGGCTTTTCCTACGCCTATACTGTCACCACAGTTGTATTAGCTGATAGGGCTCTAAATTAAATACCCCCAAACCTTTGGGGTTTCAGTAATGAGATAGTCCAAGTAACCCTGTATTATAGATTAAAAAATAAACTTTCCCCAAAATATATAGCTTTATAATTTAATGTCTTAACCATTATAAATAGTCTGAGTGCCCTGGCTAGTATGATGTGTTTGAACTAAAGACATTCTGGTGTCAAAAAAACTCCAAATAAGAAATAAGGTAAGATGCTTTATGCTTGGCTAGTGTACCCCTAACACTGGTTCAGTTCCTCATTTGATTGTCAGGACTGTTTCCTTTTTTAAAAATACTACCAGATTCTTAAGCTGATTTCTTTTTGTTTTTATTAAGCTCACAGCTTTTATGCTTCAGTCTCAATTTCTTTAGCATTGAATATTAATATTTGACTTATGAAATATATAATATATATATACATATATATATTTGTAAAGCAGGACTAAAACATTATGTTCTTAAACTTCAAAAAACTTACCTGGATACTGAGATGGTGCAGCCTTAAGTTGCTTAGTCTATGAGATCTAATTAGATGATTCCCATTCCACATTTGTAAATTGGTTACAAGCCTGATAGAGTAGGGGCATAGATATGGATATTACAGGCTTTTGAACCAGTCAAACCTGGTTTAAATTCCATTTCTATCTATTATGTCGACCTGTTACCTTAAGCAAATTAACTCAGCCTTGGTTTCTTCAACCACAAGTTTTTCTCAACTACCTTCATAGGCCTTAAGTGTTCAGGTTATAACAGTTGTAAATAAGCTGTGTTGGTGGGCCTTGTAAATAAGGTAGTGCCAGCCTACATGTGAAAAACAATAATTTAAATTTTGTTTCTTTTCGGTTTTGAGTTATTCCTCCTTGAAGGAATTTTAATTTCAGTCTGAGTTAGAGGTAAACCTGGTGTCTTATCTTGAAATAATCTGAGATAGGAACTCAATACTAAGATGCTACTATTGTATCCAGCCTTTCATCCTAGTAGTGAGAATGAACATATTAAAACATTTTATTTCCTTTTCTTATTGACCAATAGTATGGTAGCTGCAATGCTACATCTCATCATCACTGCTAGTAAGCTTTGAGGTACTAGCTATATGATAATTGACTGGTGGTATATGTAAACTCTGTGGTAATAAGAAAAATACTTCTCTGAATCTGATCTTGGACATTCCAATGCCAATTATATACTAGCCACTAGAAATACAAAGATTGTTAGAATATGGCTTCCCATGTACAGTAACCTGTTAGCAGGAAGAAATGATGATATTAGCATCATTTGGCTCATGCCCTAAGTTTTTGTGGAATTATAGATCTCCATACAAAGCATGGAACTGTTCTCCAGATCCATGATCTGCTTCTTGCTACTTTTAATCTTCTATCAATTTTCCTTTCCTGCTTTTGCTTGACCTACACTGACTTGCTTGCTATTTCTGGCACTCCCCAGCCCTCTCCTGCCCACGGTCTTTGCTTGTACTCCTTTCCGCTTTTCTGACCTTCATGACCTAAGTCCTAACGTTCTTTAAGATTTCTCATCAGATGTCATGAGAAAGGATGTCTCAGATGACCCTAGCCTAACCTTACCTCCCCCATATTCTGCTTTTAAAAAAATAACACTTAACAGCCGGGACCGGTTTGGCTCAGTGGATAGAGCGTCGGCCTGTGGACTGAAAGGTCCTGGGTTCGATTCTGGTCAAGGGCACATCCCCAGTGGGGGGTGTGCAAGAGGCAGCTGATCGATGATTCTCTCTCATCGATGTTTCTAACTCTCTGTCCCTCTCAATTCCTCTCTGTGTAAAGTCAATAAAATATATTAAAAAAACAACAACACTTAACAGTATTGCCTCTTCCCACTACAGGGTAAATCCTTTGAGGGAATGCTTACTTTGTTCCCTGCTATATTTCCAGTGTATAAGTACAGTGTCTGGTACCTGGGTACTTAGAAAATATTAGTTAAATGAGTAACTTCATGTTTATGACAACCTCTGAATGTTTATATAATTTTAATTTTTATCTTTTACCATAATAGCTAGAGGGTAAACTTTTAAATAATTTAAAATGTTAATAGCATTACTTACATGTGTGAAATCATGTGCAAATTTAGGCAATCAATAAAGTATCAATTCTAGATTTTTGCCTATTTTTTCAATCTTAAGTATTTGGGAGGGAGGAGGCATAGATAAAGTATGTTTGTCTTTGCCAGCAGAAAAGTAAACACGCATGAGAATAGAATACCTAAGTAATCTTAGATTACTTGCAAGTGTGTTTTCTCCCTAAATGATAAAATAAAAGTACATAATATTTTATTTGTATTTTAAACAGGATAAAGAAGATTAGTATGACCCACTAACTTTTTGATGTTTATTTAATAGGAAAAACTTAGCTTATTTTTTAAAAATATATTTTATTGATTTTTTACAGAGAGGAAGAGAGAGAGGGATAGAGAGTTAGAAACATCGATGAGAGAATCATCGATCAGCTGCCTCTTGCACACCCGCTACTGGGGATGTGCCCACAACCAAGGTACATGCCCTTAACCTGAATCGAACCCAGGACCTTTCAGTCCCCAGGCCGACGCTCTACCACTGAGCCAAACTGGTTTCGGCAAAACTTAGCTTATTGAAATCTTTTCATAAGTAGATCAAACACTCTTTCTAGAGATGATTATGGCAGCTATTTAGTATAGTTTCCATGCTGTTAAATACTTGCTTTAGACCAGGGGTGAGGAACCTTTTTTCCGGCCAAGGGCCATTTGGATATTTATAACATCATTCAAGGGCCATACAAAATTATCAACTTAAAATTAGCCTGCTATACTGTATTTGGTTGAACATTTCATTAACTCACCCCTCTTGCCTTGGAAGGGCCATACCAAATGATTTCTCAGGCCTTATATGGCCCAAGAGCCAAATGTTCCCCACCCCTGCTTTAGACTTTCTTTAATGTGTGAAAAGTCTGCAGCTGACTTCCACTTCAGATTTACAGCCTTTCCTCCCCTCCCTCTCTCCCCTCCATCCCCACCCCCTGCCCTCCACTGTGTAGCCTGCTTCAGTGCCTGCAGCCTATGGGCAGAGGCCAGGCAATGATTCAAAGCCACAGTTTGCTCTGCCATGGGGCACTATGAAAGACCCAGGGGTATAGGCCTATCATAAATCCAAACCCATGCATGCCTTTTTGATCTTCTATTTGGGATTTCTCATGACTCCCAGATTTAGTTTTGTGTTCTGTGAACACTTCATAGACTAATCTTCAAATTATTTATAACTAGTAGCCCTGCACACAAATCTGTGTGCCAGTAGGTTGCTGCTGCCCTCCTGTAGCTCTCTGCCCGCTGTCCTGTCCTGCCCTGTAGCTCTGCAGCCCACTTGTAATTCGCTGCCGTGCCCCCCTTCTCCCCCCCATCCATGATCTGGTCCTTAAGCTGCCCGACATTACACCTCAGGGCATAATGAATAATTAGCATATTCCTCTCCTATTATATAGAATTGGGTGACTGATATGTTCTAGACTTAGGTATTATTTTGTTCTAACCTTGCAAATAGTGTTCTTAGTGGCTGTCATTGGGGAAAGTCCTACTCTACTTAGTTCTACTTCCTTAGCAGATTTTCATAGACAGATCATATATTGAGCAATGTTTCACTGTGTGTAAATGAATTCCTGATGGAAACTGTTGTTTTTTGTGCTTTACCTTATGTCTGTGGAATGTAACAGGACATGTTTCAGGTAAATGCCCAATACAGGTCTTATCTCCTGTCTGTAACATCTATGTCAATCTATAAAGTAGGATTATAGCTTGGTATTTGTAATGATAAAAGCAGTAGCAATTTAAAGATGTCTTTCTTTACATGTTTTCTTTTTCTTAGCTTTTTTCTTATAGCAAGATGTGGTGTGTTTAATTCATGGCTGTCACCATCATGTTGCTCCCTGTAGGCTTTACTGTAACCGAATGGTAGAGGTTGGCCATATAGAATGGAATTAGGGAGGGGTGAAAAAAGTCATTAGTTTGAAACAAGTAAAAGCCATTTATGTCAACATTTTGACAATATGACTGTTGGTCTTAAATAACTCAATTCTATTTTATTAATCATTAATGAAAGTCCTGCTGTGATGATTTTATATCCCGAATGCCAGTGGTAGCTCACTAATCTTAATTTGTTACTTTTTTTGGTTAAGGGTATGTGTGGGAAGGACCTGGTATTTTGCTATGGATCTAAGTATTGATTAATAAAAAATTACTGAAAATGGTACGCTTTCTTCAGCAATTGGGAATTTCTTTAGGAGAACAACCAGGTTTATATGATCCGTTCCCACCGGTATAAAACAGAGATCCTCATATTTTACATAGATTTGATATCTCACAGAAGGAGGAAATTAAGGTTTCTTTTTGTTCTTTTTTCCCCACAGGAAGCGAAGCTAACAGATCAGTTACCACTCATCATTGTGTGTGATCGATTTGACTTTGTCCATGATTTGGTGCTGTACTTATATAGAAATAATCTTCAAAAGTATATAGAGATATATGTACAGAAGGTAAGTAATACTTACATAACCTAAAAATTAAATCTCATTGTAGATTTTATATTTCACTCTGGAAATCTTCACCCTTTTGAAACTGTGGTCTGCTACAGTGGCTCTCAGAATGTTTTCCTGCCCAAATCCTTCTTTGATTAAAATTTTACTTGCATGCCCAGTATATAAAACAGATCAGAACTGCTGTAGTTTGAAAAGTTGGATGGCCAATGCCCTCCTTACTTGGTAGCACCTGAAGTGTCTGTGTAGAGGCCATAGACTCCAAAGCACAGTTTAAAAAGCATCTTAAATATAGATACAAAAAACTGCACCTTCTAACTCTAAAAACAGAAAGACAGTTTTGCTATAGTGGACTTAATGTGTTAAAAATTCTGTGACTTTTAGCATTTTTGGACTTAATTTATCCTTTGGAATAATGCTGAGATAATTCATTAACCAAGCCAGACTTCCGGCTAAATTCCTCAGTCCAGTTGCCAAGTTAGACTGTTTATTATTGAACTTTTAAAACTGAGCTTAAAAGAGGGGGAAATTTTTTATTTTTAAAGCTCATTTTTGCTTATATTAGACATTCTTCAAATTTTTTTAACCCTTAGGTGAATCCAAGTCGACTTCCTGTGGTTATTGGAGGATTACTTGATGTTGATTGCTCTGAAGATGTCATTAAAAACTTAATTCTTGTTGTAAGAGGTCAATTTTCTACTGATGAGCTTGTTGCTGAGGTTGAAAAAAGAAACAGGTGTAGTACTGTTTAACCTTCATAACTGGGATAAATAAGTCTCTCCTAGCCTGGAAATGAATAAAAATGTAACTTGTCAGTTGTTGAAAAAATAAATGGACCATAATTCCCTGGAAACAACCAATTTAGAAGTGATAGGCTAACTGCAACGTTAATTTAAAGAAAAACTTTTCTGAAACATTGCAGCTATCGTACAAAAAATCTTTTAACCTGGTTAGTCACTTGTGTTGCATATTTATAATTAGAGCTACAAGGGTTGACTTTGTATGTGCTTTTAATGTAAACTATGTGAAAAGCCTCTTTTTAGTTAGGTATGACACTGAATTTGCTAACTACCCTGTATCCCCGAAAATAAGACAGTGTCTTATATTAATTTTTTCTCCCAAAGAAGCGCTAGGTCTTATTTTCAGGGGATGTCTTATTTTTCCATGAAGAAGAATACGGTACACATTTATTGTTAAATGAAAATAAAGGAAATTTATTACCTGTATACGGTACAGTAGTACGGTAGTTGTCAACACAAACCAGACAAACTGTGAATCCTACAGTATCAAGAATTTACTCATTTATTGAATGATAATCATGTCATCATCTTCTGGAACATCATCATAACAATCCAATTCCTGAGTTTCCTGGTGAATTTCTTGTGACTCCATTTCTTTCAGAATCAGTGCACCAAATCTCTCATGTTTAGCCTCGGGGGGTCCTTATTTTCGGGGGGATGCCTTATATTTCACTCAGAAGGAAACCTATAAGTAGGTCTTATTTTCGAGGAAGTCTTATTTTTGGGAAACACGGTGGTTCTTAAATAAATTAGTTTCAAGAATAATGAGAAAAGAGTTCCCTATTAACTCTAGGTTAATTTTTCTTTAATCTTAATATTAAATGAGGAGAAAATGGTGATGTAAGTATTTACATGAATTTGATAGCCAAAATAATGGCCTACTGCTCTTTCTCTGGGAGTTTTTGAGATTTAATCCATTGAAACAAACTATAGCTTAATGAAACCATGACCTCTGGTGGAATGACCATACAACTGCTAGAACGATTAAGCCAGAGCTTCTAAAGATACTACATTTTGTTCCTAGTGTGTATTTAGGATGCTGTCTCTTCTTGGCTGTAGGTAATATATGTTAATTGTGTTAAAATTGAGAGAAACCTCAGATAATCTGGCCTATTTTTTTATACCATGTCCTAGCTCACTCCTAAACAAAATTAGCCAAAGTCTAGATATTTTCTCCAGTATAAAGTAGAACAACTTACCCCTAGCCTGTTTGGCTTGGTAGATAGAGTGTCGACCTGCAGACTAAAGGGTCCCAGATTCAAGGGCACGTACCTGGGTTGCAGGCTCCATCTACAGTTGGGGGGGGGGGTGCAGGAGGCATCCAAAAAATTATTCTCTCTCATCAATTATGTTTCTCTCTCTCCCTCTTCCTTCCTCTCTGAAATCAATAAAAACAACAGTTTAAGAACCGATAATCTCTTTTTTCTATATCATACATTCTCCCAGCCTCCCTGTTGGTTGGGAGAATATAGTCTTACATTCCTTCTGTGTAATCTCGGACAAATCATTTAACCACCTCTGAGTCTTATTTCCCAATTTATAATAGGGTTGTTGAGAATACAAAATAATGTATGAGAAAGCACATTATTTAAATAGTTAGCATGTTAAGAGTTTGTTATTTATAATACAATATGTGTACATGTGTTTGTTTTTATTAGGTTGAAACTGCTTCTGCCTTGGCTAGAGGCCAGGATTCATGAGGGCTGTGAGGAGCCTGCTACTCACAATGCGTTAGCCAAAATCTACATAGACAGTAATAACAACCCAGAGAGATTTCTTCGTGAAAATCCTTATTATGACAGTCGTGTTGTTGGAAAATATTGTGAGAAGAGAGATCCACATCTGGCCTGTGTGGCTTATGAGCGTGGCCAGTGTGACCTGGAACTTATTAATGTGAGTACTGCTAGCTGAACGTGTAGAAGGAAGGATGCATTTTATTTATTTATTTATTTATTTATTTATTTATTTACTTACTCTAACAAAGGTAGGTTTTATTAAGAAGGCTGCATTAAAAAATCCTATATAATAAAACCCTAATATGCAAATTGACTGAATGACTGGTTGCTATGGCACTCACTAACCATCAGGGGGCAGACACTCAACACAGTAGCTTCCCTTTGGTGGTCATTGCACTCCCACAGGGGGAGCGCTGCTCAGCCAGAAGCCAGACTCATGGCTGGTGAGTGCAGTGGCGGTGGCCGGAGCCTCTCCCACCTGGAGGTGGGTGGTAAGGAGTGAGGGATCCCAGACCGCCAGAGGGATGTTCTGAGTGCGACTGGTGGACATCCCCTGAGGGGTCCCAGGCTGGGAGAAAGTGCAGACCGGGCTGAGGGATACCCCTGACCCCTCAGTGCACGAATGTTGTACACCAGGTGTGTTATATAATGTCAGGTTAGTGAATTTTGAGAGTTTCAGAGTAGTTTTAAGACAGTCATTTTTGGAAGATATGTTTTAAAAAAATTTTTGTTTGCCCATGATTGTGAATTTAAAGTGGCCAAAATGGTAGATCAAATCTATTTTCACTTATTAACGTTAACTGCACTAGTTTTATAGCTTGTGTTCTTATATATTCTCATATACATACCCAGAATGCTTACATCTCCCCCCCCCACCCCTTTGTAAAAATTTTTTAAATTTATCTGTTATTGAGAGTGCTACAGATTCCCCCCCATTACTCCCTCTCCATCTGGTTTCCATACCACTGTAGGCATTCTCCGCACCATTGTTTGTGTTCATGGTTTATGTACATGCATACATCTTTTAAACATATGATAAAGTTGCATGCATTATGGCTTGTACCTCTGCAGAATATATTTCCTAAGAATAAGGATATTTTCTTTCATAAATACATAGAAACGAACTTCAGTCACTTTGATTGACAGAATATTTCTTAAAATTTATGTCAGTTTTGTCAATTGACCAAATAATGTTTCTTACCACAGTTTTTCCTTCCAGTCTAGGATTATATAGTGCATATAGTTGTCATATGTCTTTAGTCTTTTTTTAATATGAGATAATTCTTCAGCCTTTTAAAAAATACATCATTATAAATGTAGTCTTTTTTTTCCTACTTGTAACTTTTTATTGCAGTGAAATTTACATAATGTTAATCATTTATAAGTGAAAATTTTAGTGGCAATTTGTACATTCACAGTGTAAGAGAATCTTATTCTTTTTGAGTTTCTCTGATGGCTCCTCATAATTAGCTTTAGATTGTATGTTTTCCATCCAGAATATTACCTAAATGATGTTTTGTCTTTCACATGCTATTACCTGGCATTCTTTTGTCCTTCATTGGTGGAGGCACTTTTTACTGTTGTCAGTTTCTTTACTGTATAATTATATTTCCTCTTGCAGACCTTAAGTCAGCAAGGAAACACTTAAAACCATGCAAATGTTGTGTGCCCCTCCTCTATGCCAATTTAGAATCTATTGATTCTTCTTAAACCATTCTTTTTTTTTTTTTTTAATATATTTTATTGATTTTTTACAGAGAAAGGGAGAGAGATAGAGAGCTAGAAACATCGATGAGAAACACCGACCCACTTCCTCTTGCACACCCTCTACCGGCAGGCAACCAACGTACATGCCCCTGACCGGAATTGAACCTGGGACTTTTCAGTCCGCAGACCAACGCTCTACCACTGAGCCAAACCGGTTTCGGCTTAAACCATTCTTAATTTGTTGGTTGCATAAGGACAATTTTCCAAGTCTAGCACATTCTCCGCATTTATTAGTCAGCACTCATATTTTCATGTACTCATGAAGCCCTGTTTGATTCAATAGGTCACCACTGTTTTTTTGATGCTTAAAATGTCCCAGTTTTGGCTGATAAAAACCTCTGCAGCCTGCCTCCTGGGGCTTTGTTTTATGGTCTCATCATTCTCCGAGCACATCCTTGTTTTTTTAGCACAAGTTACATCACACTTATTTTGGACCCTCCCAACCCTGGAATCTGCCATTTTCCCAGGGAACTCACATCCTTTATAGTGGGGAATGCTACTTAGAACTCAGAATTGGTCTTAGCTTGTGTGGCTCAGTTCTTTGAGTGTTGTCCTATGCACCAAAAGGTTGCCATTTGGATTCCTGGTCAGGGCACATACATGGGTTGTGGTTGATCTCTGGTCAGGGCACATATAGAAGGCAACCAATTTATGTTTCTCCCTCTTTCAGCCTTTCCCTCCCACCGCCTCACTCCCTCAGTCTCTCTCACCTCCCTCTCTCTTAAGTATGTCCTTGAGTGAGGATTAAAATACTCAGATCTGGGCCTTTAGGTGTATTTGTATTTGCTTCTATGATCTTTCAGTGATCAGAGCTAGGAAATAGATGCATCTATGTACATACATCCATTCATGTACACATAAACATATGTATGCATGTACATATGGAAAAATAAACACAAGAATAGCTAGTAAAACACTGAAAAGAAAGCTATAAAGGTGAACTAGGTCTACCAGATATTAAAGCACATTACAAAGCCTCTATAATTAAAACGTGCAGTACTAATAGACAAGTAGAGTAGAATACTTGCTTGTAACCTCTTCAAGAATATATGTAAAAACTGGATTTTTTTTTTATCCTAGAAAACAATAATCAGGGTACAAATGATACGGAATAACTTTTAAAAGTAAAGTCAGTTGCCTGGCCAGCGTGGCTCAGTGGATAGAGCATCGGCCTGCGGACTAAAGGGTCCTGGGTTCGATTCTGGTCAAGGGCATGTACCTTGGTTGTGGACACATCCCCAGTAGGGGGTGTGCAAGAGGCAGCTGATCGATGACTCTCGCTCATCAATGTTTCTAACTCTATTTCTCTCCATTCCTCTCTGTAAAAAAATCAATAAAATATATTTAAAAATAAAAAATAAAAAAAATAAAAGTAAAGTCAGTTATAAAAAGTCTTTACTTCTTACCTTAAAATTAATCTTTAATCTTTAATATCTTATTTAGGTTTGCAATGAGAATTCCCTCTTCAAAAGTCTTTCCCGCTATCTGGTACGCCGGAAGGATCCAGAATTGTGGGGCAGTGTGCTGCTGGAAAGCAATCCTTATCGGAGACCTCTAATTGACCAGGTAAAGTTGACAAATGGGATTAAGGCTAATCTTTTAACTATGAATAAAACCTCTTTTTCCCCCACATCATACACATGAACCATATTTAACTATGAGAGAAGGCAGTAAAAAGAAACATTTTAAACATTTAATTATTTTTAAAAATATATATTTTGTGTGTGTGTGTGTGTGTGTGTGTGTGTATTTAAAAGGAAAATAGAAAACTAAACATTTAGTAAAATAAGAATTGCTGTTATTAATAACTGAGAATTGACTAAGTTGATTTAAGACAATCTAAGAATGAGAATTGATAGAAGAGAAAATACAAAAGACTAAGTGGAGTAAATGTTAAATCTCTTCCCTAGTAAGCATAAAACTGCAAGAGAGATTTGTGGGGTTATAATCATATAATATTTAAAAAAAATTTAAACCCTGCCGAAACCGGTTTGGCTCAATGGATAGAGCGTCGGCTTGGGAACTGAAAGGTCCTGGGTTCGATTCCGGTCAAGGGCATGTACCTTGGTTGCGGGCATATCCCCAGTAGGGGGTGTGCAGGAGGCAGCTGATTGATGTCTCTCTCTCATTGATGTTTTTAACTGTCTATTTCTCTCTCTTCCTCTCTGTACAAAATCAATAAAATATATATTTTTTTAAAAAATTTTAAACCCTAAAAATTAAAGGTTGTTATAATGGTTCTTAAATTCTCCTTGTGGAAATATAAATATAAAAAAGAATGCAAGCTATTTTTTTTTTTTTTCATCCCTCTTTTAGGAAGCATTTCTAAGGAAAAATTTTAAATAGATATAAATCTTCTCAGAAAAAAAATACTGCAGCATCTGGAAACCGTGCAAATAGCCGAAAACAGAGGAATTATTGAGTGTATAATGCTTTATCTATGTAGCTGAATTATATGTAGCCATTAAAGTGATAATGGGGAGTGGTTATTATGAGTAATGTTTTTAATGAGAGAAAAGATTGAAATTATACAAGTAGGGTAATTTTTCAGGAGAATGGAAGTATATATGATCTAGTTATACATGAATTTGTGTATGAATACTTTTGGGTGGTAAAAAAGTATTTTTCCTCCACTTTTTTTTTCTGACTATTTCAAGTTTTCTACTGAAAAACCAACTTAGTTTTATTAGATTGTATCTTCAAAAATCACTTTGATTCTCAAAAATTTTTTTCTGTATATCCTCTGTAGGTTGTGCAGACAGCCTTGTCTGAGACTCAGGACCCTGAAGAAGTATCAGTAACTGTCAAGGCTTTTATGACTGCAGACCTTCCTAATGAACTTATTGAACTGCTGGAGAAAATTGTTCTTGATAACTCCGTATTCAGTGAACACAGGTATGCTCTGAGAGGGTTCCATTGGCTATTTATATTCAGTCTTTCATTATGGTCTGTCAGTTTTGGGAAGGAACAAAGAGACAAAGATTTGAGTATACTGTCTAAATTCTCACTCTTAATACCCTCCTCTTCTCTCCCTACCTCCTGAGACAAAAAACTCTACTAGTATAGCCACAGTGCTTATTCCTTGGCACTAATGAGCTATTAAAATATTGTGTTTAAATCTTTATCTTAAAGAAATCTGCAAAATCTCCTAATCCTCACTGCAATCAAGGCTGATCGTACCCGTGTTATGGAGTATATTAACCGCCTGGATAATTATGATGCTCCAGATATTGCCAATATCGCCATCAGCAATGAGCTCTTTGAAGAAGCATTTGCCATTTTCCGGAAATTTGATGTCAATACTTCAGCAGTGCAGGTAAATAAACTTTCAGGTTACCTAAGTTTATATACTAAATGTAATGATTTCTCATGATTCAATATATGTATTATCCTTTGAGGATGAGCATAACCAATTGCTATGGCATAGGAGAGCAATAAAATCCTAGCCATTTCAGTGTAATTGCTGTGTGCTGAGATTCATTTTACTGTAACACTAATTAAAAAATTGGTTGCTTAGGTTTTAATTGAACATATTGGAAACTTGGATCGGGCATATGAATTTGCTGAACGCTGCAATGAACCTGCGGTCTGGAGTCAGCTTGCAAAAGCCCAGTTGCAGAAAGGAATGGTGAAAGAAGCCATTGACTCTTACATCAAAGCAGATGATCCTTCATCTTACATGGAAGTTGTTCAGGCTGCCAACACTAGTGGTGCGACTTCTTAACTATTATGTATTTGTGACCTCAGAAAATGTATCTAAGCTCTGATTAAGCTAAACATTAAGATAAATTGTGTACTCTGAATTAAGTAGGAATTAGATACTTCAGGGTTACTTTTGAAAACATGTAGCCCTCCATTTTAGTGCAGACAAAGAGAAGCTGCATTTTTTGAGCTTGCAAGGTTCATGGGAACGATTAATTTTCTGTTTTGAATTTTCATAAAATTCTGATGGAGCTCTAACTTACAGCTCTAAGGGAAAGGGGATGTCCACTATTCATTTCATTAGTGATAATACAGAAGTTTAATAGAAGTTTTGCTATTATAGGTGTATTACACTGTGTATATTTGTTATATATAATGTTTTCCTTAAAGGGAAATTAATAGTAGTTCTCATTTGCTCGGGTGAAAAGATAAACGTTAAGATGTCAGTGCTTATATTTCTTTTTTCTTTTCCTATACCTAGGAAACTGGGAAGAACTGGTCAAGTACTTGCAGATGGCCCGTAAGAAGGCTCGTGAGTCCTATGTGGAGACAGAACTGATATTCGCACTGGCTAAAACAAACCGCCTTGCAGAGTTAGAAGAGTTCATCAATGGGCCAAATAATGCTCATATCCAGCAAGTAGGTTTCTTATTCATTTTTTTTTTTTTTAAATGTTAAAATAACTAGTTGAGCAACATCATTAGCTTAGTAGGATCAACACATCACAGCTGAAGATTTCCAAGGAAAAATACCTTACAGGAAAAACATTGTTTTTCACTGTTACATTGAGTTGCAACTTTGGAGAAAGGATTAAGTTTAGGCTCGCTGAAAATGGATTGTCCTTTTTTTTTCCAGGTTGGTGATCGTTGTTATGATGAAAAAATGTATGATGCTGCTAAGTTGTTGTACAATAATGTTTCCAATTTTGGACGCTTGGCATCTACCCTGGTTCACCTGGGTGAATATCAGGCAGCTGTTGATGGAGCTAGGAAAGCAAACAGTACCCGAACATGGAAAGAGGTAATCTCAACACCTGTCTGAGTGAAGAATTAAGGTGTTCTTTAGAAATGCTCTTTAAACTGTGAATCGAATTAGCAACGTTTACATTTGAGTTCACATATTTGACATTTTTATTGTAGGTCTGTTTTGCCTGTGTAGATGGGAAAGAATTCCGTCTTGCTCAGATGTGTGGGCTTCATATTGTAGTACATGCAGATGAATTAGAGGAACTTATTAACTACTATCAGGTAATGAGCCGGAGTCTTTCATATTAATTGAGAGCTTTTGCCACACATAGTCCTTTCTTTAATTTACTATCTTCCTTATTCAGGATCGTGGATATTTTGAAGAACTGATAACAATGTTGGAAGCAGCTCTGGGACTTGAGCGAGCTCACATGGGGATGTTCACTGAATTAGCCATTCTGTATTCTAAATTTAAGCCACAGAAAATGAGGGAGCACTTGGAGCTGTTCTGGTCCAGAGTGAATATACCTAAGGTAACCAGCCTTTAACATTTGGAGGCAACTATGGCTAAAACTAATATTTTAAAATACCCCCTTTTGGACTACTAAGTAGAATCAAAGACTCATATCTAAAGCAATTAAATCTTTCTTACATAGGTGCTAAGAGCTGCAGAACAAGCTCATCTTTGGGCAGAATTGGTGTTTTTGTATGACAAGTATGAAGAATATGATAATGCCATAATTACCATGATGAATCATCCCACTGATGCATGGAAAGAAGGGCAGTTCAAAGATATCATTACCAAGGTATGTACCTTCTTCAGAAGACAAAACGAAGGCTTCAGAATACGTAAGCTCATTAGGAAGTAACTCTGACTTATGTATGGATTTTTCCCATTTTAGGTTGCCAATGTGGAATTATACTACAGAGCAATACAGTTCTACTTAGAATTCAAGCCTCTGTTGTTAAATGATTTGCTGATGGTGCTGTCTCCACGGTTGGATCATACTCGTGCAGTCAATTATTTCAGCAAGGTATTTATTTTTAAAACTTCAAAATATCATAACCAGGATCTAAGACATGCTTGAATAACTTTTGTCCATGGAACTTTACCCATGTGCTATATTTGTAACAAACTCTTTATTTTAAAGGTTAAACAGCTACCCCTGGTGAAACCATATTTGCGTTCAGTTCAGAACCACAACAATAAATCTGTGAATGAATCACTGAACAACCTCTTTATTACAGAAGAAGATTATCAGGTAAAACCTTTTGATTCTTGCATATATTCTCAAAACTTGGGTTATCATTAGGTTGTAAAATTGGTATGTTTTGCAGTTAAAACAAAAAGAGGCCATTATCCTTAAAATTTTAAACGGTGGGTATTTGTATGCCTATGATTTAAATTTAATGAGGTGTAAATTGATAAATTTGACTTCCTCCTAATGAAGTGCCAAGTTTGCAGAATTTTGCTTATATCTTATCTCTCTTTAGAAAAAATTATGGTTACTTTATCCCTAAACATCTAGATTATATATAGGGTTGAAAAGTTTTTGATCTCTTAACTAATCCTTAAAACTTACTTGGTATTAACTATATTTATTCACTGCTTTTCTTGTCCAATACCATATTAGAATTTGTTTAGTAATCCTTCCCTTGTGAAGGGCTTCATGAGAACAAAATTAAGAGTTAAGATTCAGTGGGCTCTTTTTTCTTTTAGGCACAGATCCCATGCCTATCCTGTTGAGTTGTATCAGGAGTTTCCTCAGAGTATGAAATCTTACCCTTCAAATTATAAATTTTCCAAATTTCATAGCCATTCATGTTAGTCCGTGATATGAAAAACCTTGGAGAAAATTGCACCTTTAGAAATTTTACAGTATCTTCGAGGTCTTTGTTACATAATTATATTGAAAAACCTTGATGATTGTTTATTAGATTACAACTTTGTGGTTTGATGCTTGAATCTAGACTGTCACATTTAATAATGATTTACTGGTCATCATCATACATACATGCCATACATTGATCATGTCATATACAATCAGTTATGTACATAATGGCTTACTGATGAGGAATAATGGAACATAAAATTAGAATGGGACACTGATTTAAAATTTGAATGGCTTTTCTTTTATTTTTTTTAAGGCTCTGCGAACATCAATAGACGCTTACGACAACTTTGACAATATCTCACTTGCTCAGCGTTTGGAAAAACATGAACTCATTGAGTTCAGAAGAATTGCTGCTTATCTCTTCAAAGGCAACAATCGCTGGAAGCAGAGTGTAGAGCTGTGCAAGAAAGATAGCCTGTACAAGGTGGATGGAGTTGGTGGGGACAGGGCCATTAAACCAACTGCTGGATGATTGTGTTAATCCTAACGTGGTATACTACAAGTGATTATGGTCTTTAAAGTATTAGCTTATGAATATGAGAATTACCTTTAAGCCCCCATTTGAGGATATCATAGTTAAGTGAATTTCTTCATTCTAGGACTATCTTATTTTTATTTCAAACCTCTCTCACACACACACACAAAAAAAGAATGCTTTATCTGTCTATTCCTTTTCTTTCAACAAATATTTAATTTAAATTATATAACTGGTACTCTTCTCCCCCACCCCATTGTATTGCTTGATTTACCAGTTTCAGTATATTTGAGTTTAATGTTTGACTTTCATCTGTTTGAATAGGATGCAATGCAGTATGCCTCTGAATCTAAAGATACTGAGTTGGCTGAAGAACTCCTACAGTGGTTTTTGCAGGAAGAAAAAAGAGAGTGCTTTGGAGCTTGTCTCTTTACCTGTTATGATCTTTTAAGGCCAGATGTTGTCCTGGAAACCGCCTGGAGGCACAATATCATGGATTTTGCCATGCCCTATTTCATCCAGGTCATGAAGGAATATTTGACAAAGGTAATGGCATCTCTGGGTATATTCAGAACTAATTATCTTGAATATATAAAACTCCATGTGCAGACTTCTTTTTTTTCAATGTTTTTTCTCTAGTAAAAGTAAGTTATTTAGTTTATTCAAAAATATTCCTGTTTTCCATAAATTTTTAATTTTTGACCAATGACATTGCATGGAAAAGGAAACTCAAATCATAACTTGCCAGAATGTTTATCCTCAATGTATTTCTGAGGATGAATAGTATTACTTCTACATTGCATGTTAGGTGTTTTTTTTTTTTTTTAATATTTGATTAAAATTTTTTTTCAAACTATCTTCCTTAGATCAGTTCTTACAATTCATATATCTAGAAATAGTAGTATAGATTCCCTTTATTTGGTTGATTCTTGACTTTAATATGTATGCCTAGTTCCCCTGGGGAAGCTACACCTATATTCTTAACATCCTGTTAATCTTCTCAATATTTTGATAGTTTAACCCCTAATTTTAAAATATCATAGGAGATTAACAAGTAATGACATGTTTTCTAAAAGTACATTAAACAAGCTGGGGATATAATCTTATAAAGGTCACTTATTTATCTTAGTGTCCCGTTTTGATGTTAGATATTTTTATTCACCCTATTTTCAACAGTTACTAGATTTTTTGTTGTCGAACATTTAAAAATGATCCTAAAGGATCCATTTCATTAGAGAAAACATACTTAATAAAATTCATTTCACATCTGATCTGTTCAGCATGCCTTTTCAAAGGGGGGAAATAGCACTACTAACAGACCCCAGTATACTGAGTATTTTTTTAGGCTACCATCTAAGTAGTTATCATTGTGTTCAGTAATAATATTTTAAAAATTAATACTTTTTGTGTATAAGTCCATAGTATCTTAGCCATAGATGAGAATTCTTTTCTTATGCATAATGCCAACTTGTGAGACCTGGCTCTAAGCTGCTGTTAACCAAAGTGCTATAAATTTTACTAGCTGCTTTCTTTCACACTGACTCTAGCATAAATTCTTCTGCAGTAAGCTCTGAAGTTAAGAATATATATAAATTCTAAATTTTGCTTACAGTATGCCCTTTATTTTCATTTTTCTCATACCTTTTTTAGTGGTTAGATGTTTCTCCCCTAAACCTTTGTTGCTGATTCTACCTTTTTATGCTCAATATGGAATTTGATTTTTTTCTAAGCTGCACCTTCTGAATTCCTTTGCAGGTTGATGCAATAAAGGAAAAGGTGAAAGTTGATTCTTTTCCATCTTTAAGTCTGGAGGACTAAGTCTAAGGAATTTGCATGATTTTTTCCTTCCTTTTCTACACTGCTGCTGCTGCTTTTTCCCCCCCAATAAATTTTCACTAAAGCCTCTGCAAGTCCCTTGAGCCATAACTATAATAGAGTTGTAGGACGTTAGTAGATGTTTGGTACTAATCGGCTAATAGGCTTTAGGAAGGGCAGGAGGCTAATCAGTAGTTGGTTCACAGTCTCTCTTAAATATATTATTAAAAACTGAGCATGGTGAGTTTCCATATTAATTTCAAAGTTTCAGGAAATTCCTCTTCCCTGTCAGGGTATCTGGACCATAATAGGATTTTCTTAATACTCTAAATAAATTTAAACAGCCTCTGGTTTTATTTTGTGAGCTTGCCTGACAGTCGCTGAATTTATATCTGTATATACATGCCCTAAAAGGCTTTTTGGGATTTTTTTTGTTATTGAAGGACTGTGATCCAGTTTCTGATCTCTTGATTCTTACTAATTTTTTGCTGAAAGTAGATACAAGAGATACTAGCTGCTTCCGAAGAGACTTTCCTCATGTTTCTCCAGGTGTCCAGTTCTTATGGTGCTAGTCCATTCTCAAGAAGACTCAAACTTTTTTAATTATGAGAGGAGCTTGCTCTAATTGCTGCTAAGCAACATGGATTATTTCTATATATAACAAAGCAGTATTAACTTCTACATTTTGTAAATAAGGCACACCTCTGAAGCCACCTCAAGTTTGCTCTCTTATTCATCTGTTGGCTTATCCATGGTAAATTTAGGCACCTTTTGGTTGCTGCTTCCTTAATTGGCTTGTCACCATCCCAGTATAAGTGAAACCAATTTTCAAACTTATGTCTGATATCAAATTGTGGTTAAGAAAAGGGTGGGAAGATAAAAGAGAGTTGAAACAAATTTGAACGAATTTGGGTGGGGGACAATGCCTTGGAATTATGTTGAACCAAACTGGAGTCACCATTGGAACTTAGTGGCAAACCTGAGTAAAATGCATTGTGTGAGGCCCTTCAGCAGCTAGTAAGCAAGGCAGTTAGAAAGCGTGTGTGTGAAAAACAGGTAATTGAACTGCAGTGTTATGCATTGTTTTAAATCAAGCATGTTCAACAGTCATTGCAATTACATCATAGTACTTTTGAAACTCTTAAAGCATTGCTGTGGGCTGTGTGTGTTTCTTGAGAGCCTGTATAGCAACAGTCATCTTCAGATCTCACTTCTTGCTTCAGTACTTTTGCCTTTTTTTCATGCACACATACACCAAAATAACTGACTGCATGTTAACTTTTCTCTGCAGCATATTGCAGTCTCTGTGGAAAAGCCTTTTACATTACAGTGAATTTTCAATAGTACAGGTGGAACTCAGTGACATGCTTACCTGAAATTTTTCTTTTTAAATCCAAGGATCAGAAACTTTTGTTACAGCTCTTAACAAAAGCTTGTGTTCGTAACAGCCTTCTCTGCTTTTTCTTTTTTGAGCAATCTAAATTGGGTCTATGGAATAAAAAATTGGATGTTGCTGTGCCAGAGGCTGTCCTATTATATAGAAAAATCAAAATTTTTTTGCTTAGCTTGGTGCTATTCCTTCAAAGTTCTTATTTTTTTGTGTTTTTCCCCCTATGCCCAGCCTGCCTGTGTCTGTGCCTGGGCATTGTGATATTGCTAGTTCTTCTAAGTCTTACATGTATTTCTGGAATAGGTCTCTGTTTCCAACATCTGACTCAGACATCAACTTTAAACATGTGTTCACTTTAGATTCTTTTCCTTGAAAGTCTGGAAATGTATTATGCAGTGGTGGGTTTTTTGTTGTTTAATTTTTCTTCTTTTTAGAAGTTATTAATGTACACTCATCCATGTATTTTTTTTTTTTTTTGCACAACCTCTTTAGCTTGGATACTGTTTTTAGGTTAGCAGAACCCCATCTGACCCTTGGTGGCACATACCATACTTTAAAGTATACAGCTGTAATAATTTTTGTTGTAAGTTTGAATACCAAACTATGGGTATTTCTCATGGTACTTATACTCGATAGTGGTCTTTAATTTTACATTGGGTAATTTATAACAGATGAACACATAGGGTATAAAATAAGAAAATGTATGCAAAAGCAAATTAACCCAACTTCCTAGGGTGGGGAAACCATATTTTATCTAAAGGTGTCTAGAGTCTGCCTCAGCTTACTTTTCTCATATTTTGTTCCTTGAAATAGTAGGATGGATTAGACCCATATTTATGGTAGTTAGTGTTAAAAAATTAGTACATATATGAAGTACTATCCTAATCTTATCTGAAGTGGCCTATCTGACGACTCCAAGACACCATTTTAAATAATTTCAAAAAGTCAGGGGCTGCTCTAACCTTTTTAGCAGTCTTTATAGCTTTTTCACTGATGTCTGCATGTCTTTTTTTGTGAGTGATTTTTTTTTTCACATTTGCCTTTTTGAGGAACATTTAATAAAAAGTTTCTTCCTGAACTCTGCCCCATCTCACTGTACATTTATGACTTTGAAAACCACTAGTAGCAGTAACTTTGAGATTTGAAGTGTAGTTATGCTTTGGTTGAGATACTGACTTTTAAATATATTGTAGTTTAAAAGAAAAATATAGTATATAGTTCAAAAAACAAGTGAAAGTTGTGCAGTGGAGATTCCCTAATCCTGGTGTCCTGATGATTTCTTCCTAATTCTTCACAGAATTACGGAATCAAATCATGTTAGTCCTAGAAGGCACTTTACAGATTATGTCGTTCAACTGTCTCAGATAGACAAGGACATTTTTTGAGGGTCAGTGCAGTGGTTTGCCAAGGTCACACAACTAGTTAGTGAAAGGACCTATGTATTTTACCTCCTTTCATTAATACATATGGACTCCTCTTCAGTCTTATTTCTGTCAGATAGTATCTACATTTATTTAGAGTAGCTAGCATATAATAGCCATTTACTGTTGCTTAATTAAAAGCAAAAAAACTCTTAAGGGCTACTTCTTAGAAAATAGAGCATAAAAACATGCAGCCTGTCTTTATATTAAAATAATCAAATATGGAGCCACTTGAGTCTTAAACTTTAGTTTGCACCTATAACCAGTATTAGCAGAAACTGTGCACACTGGGCAAAAGGTAGCTTAATCTGCATAAGTATTTGTCCAGTCATCAGACTCATTTTACTTTTTTTGAGAACCATTTCCTTTGGGGAAGAAGTCTTACCAAGTCATGAGTTCATTATTATCTTTGGTAGGCTTTAATCTTCATTTGTAAAAGTGGTTCCTTCTCATATCTCCCTCCCTCAGGCTGGCTGCAACCTAGCATGCCCAGTTTTAGCCTGGCGTGCGCTTTAATGGCATTTATAAATCCCTCCTTCTGGAGGGTTTATAATGACTGCTGAAAATCACCTGCACTGAGGTGTGGACATTGCCATTGAATTTGAGGGGCCTGAGAATGTTCTTTCTAGTCTCTGTATTTTGAAAAAATTTAATAAACTAAGGCTTTTCCACTTTCTGCCATAAACCTAGGTTTATAATACTTTTGAGGTGCTAATTAACATTACCTGTTTTTCTCCAGGTGGATAAATTAGATGCTTCAGAATCACTGAGAAAAGAAGAAGAACAAGCTACAGAGACGCAACCTATTGTTTATGGTAATCTCTATCTCTTTTTAACTTTACAGAAATAAGAGCAGATATAAATGTTTCATTCTTTAGGTATTCTGCCTCAAAATAGAAATATAAAAAGCTTCTAAAATGCCAAAGGCTCACCGAGTATAGAAATAATTCTCTCTACTGTTATTCCACCCCACCCCCAAAACAGTCTCAAAGCAGGCATTTTAACCCCTCAGGTAATCTTAAATGCAAAGACTGTCTCAAAAAATCTTAAGATCATAATCTCATTTTCTCTATTGCCTGGTCACTGGTTGATTGCTTATTCATAAATTACTGAAGAATAATTATTGGTGAATTCAATTTTCAGAAGTGCCAACACTGTCTTTAGAATGCTTTAGAATCAGGGGTGGGAAATCATTTTTCTGCCAGGGGCCTTTTGGGTATTTATAACATTATTTGTTTAATATAATTCACTTAATATAAATTTATTTTGCTATAAAAAAAAAAGCTTTTAGATTTATTAAATTTCTAGTCTTGCTTGTAATTGCTTTGGTAGGGCCAGATTAAATTATTTCAAGGGCCTATATGGCCCAGGAGCCGGACATTCCCTACCCCTGCTTTATATAAAGAATACATCCTCTATTTAAATTCTTACTGGGGCAGAGAACCTAAATAGAGATTCCATTTGAGAACTTTCTAGAGAGATAGGATCTTCAAACTCTCAGTTAATATTTAAGGCAATTTAGTTTCTTACATGTTTACATCTGAACTACCTTTTCCATTTCACTCTTGGTGAACAGATTCATTTGAACAGTGAATTTGAAGAGTATAGGTTACAGTGCCCTTTAGACAAAAAAATTATAACCATTGTATCTCATCCTCCTAAAGGAAATGATAATATTCAAATCTATTATGACATTATCTCCTTTATATTAGAAATATAAAGGACTTTGGGGATTTAGAGGATCAGGATAATTTTGACAAAGTTGAAAAAGAAAACTGTAAATAAATTGTTAGAGATGGGAGCAAGCTGTTTCACATACTTGAGATAGGAAACACAGTAGGAACCAAAACAGAATGAGTGTAATAATTCGGGAGCACTGACTCAATTTGGTTTGCCTTTAGGGTTTTTAAATGGATAGGCCTTACAAGCAGTGACAGTGGGATTGAAATTTCAAGACAAATGTCAATATCAAGGTTAGAAGTGATTTTTAGAAACTGCTAGTTTCCAAAAAGAATTTGCTCACTAAAGACAGTTTTGTTGGTTATTCACAAAATGGGGAGACGCGAGGTCGCTTGTGCTGGGAGAAATCTTGCTCTAGGATTACAGTCTAGTGGGAGATCGAGCCCTTTTATAGCAGTTGGGAGGACGTGTTACATGTCTTTTCCCTCTGAATAAGCCAGCTTCTCCATGGGTTGTTTTCTGTATGTGGTCAACAACTATTTATAAACTTCCTAAAAGGGACAACAGAATATATAAAAGAGGTGGTCTGCACTAATGTATTTCATACCTAATATATATTTGAATATGCCTTGCTATTTTTAATTTCTCTAAATTAGTACTAGATTCTTTGCTCAAAATGCATTAGGTTTCATTATCACGTAGATGTGCTTAAATCAGAAATTTAAATACAACTTTAAAATTTCAGTTATGTTAAAACCATGTCTATTAAACAATTGTTTTCCTGTGCTAATTATATTGTCATCAAATATAATGTGCAAACACCATGTTGTACAAAGGCTTAAGTAGATGCCTTGCCTAATGTCAAACATGCATGTGCATATTGCTTTAGGTGATATGAAGTAACATAATTCCTGTCCCAGTTCTGACCCTTAGCTCTGCACTGCTTGTTGGCTTTATGGGCAGGACCTTTCTAAGGGTGACTGTCATGCCAAAGTTGTGGCAGTCATAGTGCTCCCCAAAACTCAAAAGTTGTGATTATGCTGCTAGAGGAGGGGAGATTAGAGTGGGATAGTCCTACATTACTAACAGTTTCTACTGCCTCCTTGCCCGCCCCTGCTCCTTTTTGTTTCCCATCTTTAGGTCAGCCCCAGTTGATGCTGACAGCAGGACCCAGTGTTGCAGTCCCTCCCCAGGCACCTTTTGGCTATGGTTATACTGCACCACCCTATGGGCAGCCACAGCCTGGCTTTGGGTACAGCATGTGAAACGGAAAGCTGATCCTGTAGTCGCCTATTTTCGTACTGAAACATCGTCTCTACCCACTTCTCACTTTATAACAGAGGAAAACAGGCACATGTTCTTGTAACCTTTATTTCATGAAGGACTGCGTTTTATTTTTAACTATAAACTTGGATCACCTATGTTAAAAGCTTATTTCACATTCCGCATCATTTTAGAATTTATTTTCAAAGGGGAATAGTTTCAATGTTTTATTCATCTGGGCTTTTTTCCTTCCCTTTTGTTCTTTGAAGAACTGCCTAATATTCAATCTGTTGTGAAGAACCTGATTTGCACTCTGTAGTGTTTAAAGAAAAACTCTAATACTGAAGCTCTTAAATTTAGTGTATGTAAACAGCTTACAATATGTATTGTCTAAATGCATTTAAATCTCTTTTATTCAAAGAAAAGCTAAAGCAAAAATATTGGTATGTGACCATGCGAGACTGTCAATGCAACCAAGACAACACTAATCATAATCAGCACAGCCTACACTGGACTGCAGTGCTCTCCAAAGTATTGGGAAAATGCATTACAGACAACCTGCCTGACTTTTCAATGAGCATAAGAGGCCCTCTAACCTATGCAGGTTTCCTGATTACGCCTATAGAAAATACTAGTGTGTTTTTGCTCACTCCATATGTAACAGGTGCCCTTATGTTGTGCTGTATCCTGTGCTTTTTCTGTGGGACCATTCCATTCAAGAACAAAGAGCACCATGATTCCAATCTGTGTGTATTTACTAACCCTTCCCTGAGGTTTGTGTATGTTGGATATTGTGGTGTTTTAGATCACTGAGTGTACAGAAGAGAGAATTCAAACAAAATATTGCTGTTCTTCAGTTTTGTTTGTGGAATTTGAAAATACTCAAATTTAAAATAAATTACTGGACTGTGGAAATAACATGTAGAATGGCAGTTTTAATTAAATTCCTCTCAAACTTAAACCAAAGGAACCATGGTGTTGGTAGTTCTATATTGGATTCCAAGGGTAGGGAGGTATGAGAGCAGAAATGGAATGAGGATCGGGACATGTGAAAACACATATCACATTATACCATAAGGCACACTATAGTGGGCTACATTTCAGCTATCTCCATCATATTAACCACCTGGCACTTTTAAGTTTTATCTAAGCATTTTACTTCAAGGAATAAGGTCATGGATGTGAAATTATATTAACTTGATATAAATATATAGAAACATGAAGTTCATGCTATTTCTCACCATGAAATTGTAAGGGTCCCCAAATTGTGGGTAGTGTAAGGTGATTTTTTTAAACCTGTTTTTGAATCCAACTCTTGGCTGATGGCAAAGAATGTCACTTTAAGTTCATTTCACTATTAATCATCAGTAGAGTTAGAGAAACCCCTGCTTAGCCTTGTATTGCCACTGAAGGGTCTTTTTTTTTTTTTAAATATATTTTATTGATTTTGTACAGAGAGGAAGGGAGAGAGATAGAGAGTTAGAAACATCGATGAGTCATCGATCAGCTGCCTCTTACACACCCCCTACTGGGGATATGCCCGCAACCAAGGTACATGCCCTTGACCGGAATCCAACACAGGACCTTTCAGTCCCCAAGCCGACGCTCTATCCATTGAGCCAAACCGGTTTCGGCTCATTCCCTATCTTTAATTCTCATCCTATTTTCCTATAGCAAATTACAGTATTAGGTGGAAAAATCACCCTTTTGTTGTTTGTCCTAGTGAAGACATCTTGCTGTTTAAGATCTGGCTGAACTTTTGTTTCTGCTGGATCTCTGCTCCCTTTTTTCATCATGAAAATTAAGAGGGAGAATAGTCATGTCCTAGTGAGCCTCAACATGTGTTCTAGACCTCTGTTCTCTCTTTTCCTTCCCTTCTCTAATAGAAACAAAAGTCTTATCCTGTAATACTGAGTTGCCACTTAAGCCATCTATAATGGGTTATAGTAGAAAGAAACTGCTTTGACTTGGGTTCAAATCCTGAACAAGATGAACTTCTGAGCTTGTTCCCTGAGTAATTTTCTGAATTTTTTGCAGGACTGTGTTTAAGTCACAAAATGCCTAGCTCAAGACTAGACAATAGTAACTGTTGTACAATAAGTAGTAGAATGAATTGGTAATAAACTGTATTTTAAGGCATTTCCTAACATGACTCTGAATGATGGTCTTGGAGAAGGGATTAAAAACAATTAACCAAGGGTATTAAGAGTCCTTAGCACTTTCGATGTAACTGAAACAAGATAGAGGAAGGGGAGACATTACTGGAAACTTTTCATAAGGTAAGCATGCTTTCAGTGATCTTCCCTAATATCCAAATACAGCCTTTGTACAAAACCTGTGATATTTGTTGACAACTATTTCAACATAGGCAGTATAATAGCAGACTTCCGGTAACTGGTGATCTCTAAGTAGGATTGCTTAACTTTGCTATAAATTGATTTAGTTATGCACACATTCTCACTCTAGTGGTTTTCAAACTTTTTCTTTAGAATCCTTTATACTCTTAAATCATTGAAGGTCCCAAAGTTTATATGGGGTTCCATTTATTGCTATTTACTGTATTAGTAGTTGAAACATTTTAAAAATTAATCCATTTAAATGTAATAGTAATAAACTCATTCTATGTTAACAAAAAGAATTATAAATTATTTCCCAAAACAAAGGTCAAGTGATAAGAGTGGCTGGCATTGTACTATTTTTTATAACTTTCATCAGAGTTTGCCTTAACACAGAAGACTGCTGGATTCTCATCTGCTTCTGCTTCTATGTTCAATCTGTTGTATGTTGTTTTTATTGAAGTACATGAAGAAAGTATGGTCTCACAGATTTGTAACTAGGAAAGTGTTTTAATAGCCTTTTTAAGATACTTGGGGTTAGTTGAAATGTGGGATCTAAAATTATAAAAGTGAACTTTTTATTCTGTGATATTAAAATCCATTGGTCTATCTTTACTTTGAATGGATTTTTTACCCATGCATGATTTGTACCCTCATGCATTGGTTATGTGGAAGACATTATATATTGTAAGATATTTGTGAGACACACTATTCTTACCAGAAAAGTCTTAAGTTTGGGGAAGCTTGGATGAGAGGAAGATATAAGTTTTCCTACATCCTGACAATTGTTATGAGATTCCTATCAAACATTCAAATCTGGATAACCAGTTTGTCTGTGGTTCTTGCCAGTAAAAATTTTCCATGATAAAAAACAGCTAGTTCAGCTCACCACTAAGCCTCACAAGTATTTGCACCAGAAGTGTTTAATGCTAGACAGAATATTAAGACAAATAGTTAAGGGTCAAATTTAATAATACTGTTAGTGCTTCATCCAGAGCATTAAGTGAAAGTTGTTTTTTTTTTTATTGTGGGGAGGGCAGTGAAAACTACTTGTACAGGTAGGTGCCACTGCCTTAATTTGTGAAAGGTGCCAGCAGTTTTACCCACGATGTAAAAGAAAAATAATGTGTTATATTATAAAAATAGTTTTAACCCCCTGAAAGTGTTCGAGAACCGATGGGCTCTGCTCATACTAACTATAGGTGAACTAGAGAACAAAATGTATCACCAGAATTTGCATACAATTCATCCTAATAGATATGCCATGACTTATTACAATTACTTCAGTCAGCCACAGCAGGCCGTTCTTTGAACGTGGAACCAACAGTCTAAGGCAAGTCTCAGAAATTCCTGAGCCAGAACCATGCATTTAGGATTGACTCTCTTCAAATCAATTACACTTTGTTGCATCACTTTTGAACCTACTAGTATAAACATTCTCTTTAGAAACAGTTGCTACTGTGGCATCATTCTCGGTTGCAATTTCTCCTGTGCTGTAATATGCCAGTGTAAATGGTATAAAACTGACCAAATATTCTAACTTTTAAGGCTGCCTGCAAACTCCTTTGAACTTATACCTTAGTTGTGCTATCATGCTGCTTATGTTGAAGTTAACTGCTAATTAACACTAATTTTTGAAGTTAACATGGAGAGTTGTAACCACTTAACATGTGCCTGTTATCAAAATTCTCCCTGGCATCGTAATTCTTAGGGATATGCTAAATTTAGAAATACTGCCAGGATCCTCCTAAAAGGTTCTCATAAAAAGGGCTTTTTGCAAGAATACATTGCAAAAAGGGTAGAAGCTGTATAGCTTTGGGAGCTGAGAAGCTGGTATAGTGATACTTGTATTATGTCATGTTAATTGTATCAAGATCAAAAGGGAAATAAAGATGCCCATAAATAATTGAATTATCTAATTCCTTAAGTTCTAGGTAAACAATCGGTGATGTGATGACAGGCTACTTTCACTTCACAGTGACCATAAATTCCTACATGTGACCATTATCACCTTTAAGGTCCATACAAGTACTTTACAGGTTTCACTGCCTTCATTGTTAGGAAAGTGGGAAGTAAAGCAGCTTTTTTTTTTTTTTTTTAATATATTTTATTGATTTTGTACAGAGAGGAAGGAAGAGAGATAGTTAGAAACATCGACGAGAGAGTCATCTATCAGTTGCCTCTTGCACACCCCCTACTAGGGAAATGCCCGCAACCAAGGTACATGCCCTATACCGGAATCGAACCCGGGTCCCGTCAGTCCCCAAGCCGACGCTCTATCCATTGAGCTAAACCAGTCTCGGCGTAAAGCAGCTTTTATAGGCTCTGATGTAGAGCCACTGCTGAGAACCTTGGCCACAGGGGGTCTGAGAAGTGATCATGAAACACTGCACAGGTGGGTTATATCAATGCTATTAAACCTCAACTTTGAGACAAACATTTTTAAAGTCCAGCAGGTGAGAGTCTAAAACCTTTTGTGGGTGGCCACACATCTATTACCAAAGTAGATGCTCAATCACCCAGAAAGTTATGGTAGGAAAGAACTTGCATCCAATGTGACTATCCTTGAACCCCTGATCCTCTAACGGCGACAGCAATAGTCTTGGGGAGCAGTTAACATGCAGGGGGCCTAATCATGCATAGGAAATGCCGTTTCCCCACTTGTAATCCAATTTTGTTGTGACCTGTTTCTTTTAAATATTTGTTGTTTCAGGACATAAACCACTAGGACAATTTAACCAACTTTTTTTTTCTTTCTAGCCCAAGATAACTGTGTAACTGTGCCAAGTACATGAGAGAAGAACATGGGAACAGATTTCCACCTCAAGAACACTTAAATTGGGGGAAGAAACTCAGCTTTTATTGTTAGACTTTGACAGTTTCAAACACTTGTGGTGAGACAATCATGATACAAAATTCTACCTAGTAAAGTTTTAGGTGACCAGTGACTTTGTCAATTAGGTCTGCTGGTCCTGGCCCAATTCCCAGGACAGTCTGAGAACCTGGTGCGATCTGAGTACGTCCAGCATCTTGGATTAGACTTACAGTCAGTCCCAGCATCTTGGCGTGGGTCAGTAATGCAACCAGAGTTTCTTCATCGGGGGCTTTGACCACCACTTTGGGCTGGCCACAGTATTCCCACTGTCTGAGCAGTTCGGGGTTTTTCCTTTGGATCTGCTTGTAGGCAGAAACGGCAGCATGAGAACACTGGGCAGCCACTTTCCCCTTTCCCATCTTTAAGTCATTTCGCACCACAAGGATCATTTTGTACTCCCCGCTCTCTCCTAAGATGCTTGCTTCAGTCCTGGCGTCCGTGTGTGTCTCACTGCCGGAGCTTTTGGGGGTCATCCCAAAGCGGACCCGGAGGCCCCAGCCCAGGCACATGCCACAAGCTACTCCCGCAGCCACACTGAGCGCACCGGGATGAGCCAGATATTCCATGACCAGGGATTTGGAGAGCATCTGAAGGAGAGGAAAAAGGTTATCACTACACAGCAGTGAAAAGTTATAGGCTTATCAAATACCTTGATAGTATATCAGCAACAATATTTTAAAAACTGTGAGGTCACCCAGGAAAAAGGCACAATATATTTTGGATCTTATGTGTGTACCGCTTTTTCTCCTCATCTACTAGATAAAATTTCAAGAATACAGATGAAGCAATTTAAGTCATTATGAATCTCTATGTAAGAAGTATCTCTTGTTCTTGGCTACAACAAAGCTCTGTTCCTCACTCTATTTTACCAAGATGCCCAAAGGGTCTAAACTAAAGAAACAAAGAAGAACTCCCCACACCCCTTTTCTGGAATACAGTGCTTTTGAATAGTGTCTTCATAATGCAATGTGGGATGGTACCAGCCCCTCAGACAAGTTCTTGGTTGTCTATGTAATGGGTGTGGAGTGAGGTGCCTTGCTAACATTTACTAGACCTGAGCATAGAATGCTATATGTCTTACAAGTGAAGATTTGTCCCACTGGATATTACTACAAGTGCAAAACTTAATACACAAGATGACCCAATTTCATTTTACATAAAAAATATTGTTTGCATTTAATATACAGTGAATTTACCAGAGTGCATTACATAAAAACAAAGGGAGATTGTCCTTTATCCTTTTTTATCTTAAAAATTAATTCTTGTTACCCTATAAAGCAGTTCATGGTATTTGAGTCACCAATAAAACATACTAGTCTACATTTGAGGTTATTGGATTCATATGATTCTGTGGCACAAATCCTAGAAATACATATTTTATCATAAATTTTCTTTTTATTCTCACGTTAAAATTAAGACATTGATGCTTCAAAAGTTTATATGGTAAATTACATACAGTTTTATCAAATATTTTAATATAAGGATAGTGCAGGGAAGGGGATGTTAAACTTTATATAATTCATATACTACAAAATTAACTTTTAACATGTACAATTCTTTGAAAGTAAAAGATACTGAAAATCAGTTTTAAATTGTACGTTTACATTTCCTTTGACCAAAAGACATCCTGGTCAGAGATGACTAGCAAATAAAAAAGATAGAGGTATCTCCCGCATTTTGAAAATCCATGTTACATCACTCGCTTTTGTGAAAAACCTACATTAGTACCTGTTTTCAGTAACAAAAAGAAATGCGAAGATTTTCCAGTTTACAAAAAAGAAGGCAGAAAGAAAAAGTGTTCACTGTTTTTCAGCGATTCAATATAGAGGCAGCATGCACCCTGAGTAGTAAGAGTGGCACTGCTTTTACTATGCAAGTATTATTTTAGGCTTCTTGTATTATTTGGTATGGTTTCGTAGGTTATTTTCTGGGGCATGGGAACAATCAAATTTTTCCATATAAATTAACAGGAATTTCTTTTTCACTTCATACCATCCATTTCTACTTACAAAAGATTTCATAGGAGTTCTCATTTCAGATAGTGTATATGTAGATCATTTTAGTGGTCAGAAGATAAGCCCAGGCTAGAAATACAGATTTAAGAGAACTTAACATACAACTGAGGTAATCAAAGTGATGAAAGTGGATGAGGCCACTGGGAAAAGTAGAAGAAAGGGCTAAAAATCCTGAGGAAACGAACATTTAGGGTTCAAAAAGGAGTTAGTGATGGCGTGGCTAGAGGTCAAAGGATCACACATGGTTTCAGTCTTCTTTAACTGCTGTGCCTAATAAGGTAACAGGGCTATGCAGACATAGGACTGTTGACTCTTAGATGTCTTTGCAGCCAGAAAAATAAATTATTAGAACCCACATTGGGACTTCTCTCTGATAATCTAACGACCTAAACGGAACAATTAGATTCTCTGCTCTAATTTATAGGTCGCAAAGTAACCAAATATCTCATATATCAAAATCAGGTACTATCCGGAGAAAGTAGGTTTACAGTTGTGAATTCACAAAATAGTTTATTCTTGTATTATTTATTCTTTTCCATATGACCAACTGTAAACCTATTTTTGCCGCACGCTGTACAGAAAAAAGACCTATTATATGTTGAAGAACATGCTAAACCTTTTACTTCCATTACTGTTGCTATGAAAATAAAAGGAAAATATTAGCCTCATTTTAAAGATAAGAATCAGAGAAGCTGCTTATCCACAGTAACATAATAAGAGCAGTTCTAAAATGTGCTCAATATCAAGGCCATGATACAAAGCTCATCTTCAAAACTCTATTCCCAAATCACCCAATGCCGAAGACCCCTAAAGCCTTTCTTGATCTCCAAATTTCCATTTCCAGCTTCTGCTAGATCTCACCACTGAGATGTCTGTGAAGTGATCTAAACTGAACTCAATATCTTCCCTTCCCTCTCAAACTTCCTTTTTCTGAATTTGTCATTTCTATGTAACTCTGGACTTTTTCTCTTCTGTCCTACCAACCAGTCACCAACACTTGTTGAGTTAAACCATCTCCTTACCTAAGCAGTGCCCCAATTATCTCTTAGCCAAGAGCCTCTAAAACTAACTTCATTACCTCTAATCTTTCCACATTGCTTCACTCGTGCCCTAGTTCATCCTAGTCCATATGCCAGTATAATGATGCTCCTAAAACACAAACCTGAGTCTAACGTCCCTGCTCAAAAATCCCTGGATAAACGCCTGAAGAATAAAGCATAAACCCCTTTGCACGAAGTTACAGCGCTACCCAATTTGGTTACAACCTACTTTATCCTTCTAACCTCCGATCCTGCCACACCAAATTACTAGGTCCCTTCAAGCAGCAATCCTTCCCTGCAATTATTTTTCTTCACTCAATAAACACAGACAAAAACATCTTTTTACTCCTTAAGGCGCAGTTCAAATAAATGCCTGTCTCAAAAATATTTATCAACGCCAGTCTTAACTATTCTTCCCAGCTGCTGTAGCACTTATACCTAACTCCTCCTGTGGGTCATGGTCTCTGGGGTCTACTTCTTTAATATTTTAAATATTTCTCTAGCCATTATGTCTGGGAACCAAATTTTCGATCATATTCTTAGAAACATTTTTCTCCTCCCTTCGTAGGGCTCAACAACTCGTTTCAATAAAAACTCAGCCGAGTGCGAGGCACATGGATGCCGCCTGAACGGAGGTTTTTGTCTGGGAACTGAAAATTCTGGGCCCTTCCCCTCCCTAGCACCTCGACCTTTCTTTCAAAGGATGGCTAGCAGAACCGGAACAGTGGCTCCAGCACCTATGAGGAGGAAGGCGATTTCCGAAGATGAAAGGGTGGGGGTGCGATTTACAGAAAGAGATGGGAAGAAACATCCCAGCTGGAGGGAGGATGGAGAACGTCATCCTCCCCTTCGCCGAGTGAGGGGCCGACCCACCTACCTAGCGCGCTTCTCCTCGCCTCGCTCGCGTCTTCAGGCTCTTCCCTTCCGAGGAGCGAGCACGTTTCGATCGCACGAGGCGCCTCTTCCGCGGCTCCTGGACAACAAGTTCCGGATCAAGAGCCGGGGAGAGAACAGTCATCCTCCCTCGCCCCGCCCACAGGTCCCGAACCCAAATCCTGCGACCGTCAGCCGAGGTTGCCGGAAGGAGGTGGGAACGTTTCTCTTAAGGAGACGGGTCTCCCGGGGGGGACACGGACCGGAAGTGACGCAACCGACTTCCGGTTTTGCCGGAGCCCAGCGGTGGGTGTGAGAGTCGGTCTGGTGCGGCTTTTGGGATCCTGAGATCCGGAGAAGCCGGGGTCCGAGCGGGTAGGTAAACGAGTCCGGGGAATTGGGGACGGGAGCCCGAGACGTGCCTCGGAGCCCAGCTTCTGCCCAGCTCTCCCTCTGGCACCGTGCAGACCCGGGCACCGTGATTTCCACTTCCAAGCAGTGTTTTCCGGTGCTCCTGACTCTGGGTGCCTGGCTGGCGGGAGCCGGGTTATCTGGGACACCTCTCCGGGGTTGGCCACCGGCACCCTGAATCCACACACTGGGCTCCCCGACCATTTGCCCTGGGCGCCACTGGTTTGCAAGCCGTTCTAAGCTTCTGTAGAGTTCCCACCTCTCCCTCCTCCCCCGGTTTCCAAAGGGTCATCCCTGCTGCCGACCAAGCTGTTTAGAAGCGTACGCTTTTTGAAACAAAATTCAGACGTGTTGTTTAATGTATTATATATCTTGTTCTTATTTTTTTATTTAGAAAATTTTTTCACACTTATCTGAAACGTGACAAGGTTGTTGAGATGTGGAATGATATAAATTAGAGGTTATTATTAGTTTTAATAGCTAGTAAGTTTGCGTATTGCCTTTATAACTACCAGCCACTTGATCTTATGTTCATTGGTAAAGTTTTTTCTTCTTTTTTTAAAAAATTGATTTTAGAGAGAGAAACATCGGATGTGATAGAGAAGCTTCCCTTACATACCCCCACGAGACCTGGAGACCAAAACCTGAGTATGGGTGTTGGATGCTCCAACCAACTGGCCAGGGCTCGTCTCATGTTCTTTTTGTTCAATTCAGTTACCGAGGAACTGATTATCCCAATTTTCTCACTTTCCATCTTCTTCCTGCCTTTGGCTTGAATAACCACTTTTTTAGAATTGTAAAATATCATCAAACTTTAAGTCAGAGACCTTGATTGAAATCTGGGCTCCAATATTTATCGAGTGGAAGTTGACAGATTACCTAACTTTCTGAGCTGGTTGGTAAAAGTGCTGCTCATTTTATTTCATAGGAATGTCACAGTGATTGAGAGAGTAAATATGAAATCACCGTGTAAGTGAAGATATGGTGATATTGACCTTTTACTCTGAAATCTGGACATCTCTAGTGCAGAATACTGTTCCTTGGCATCTTTTCAAAACTTGGTGTATTACGTTGTGTAGCATTTATCAGAAAATATTATCATACATTTCTCTGAGATGATCTTTGCCCTATTTTTGAACACAATAAAAGCTAGCCAGGAATAATTAGATACTGTAATCCATTGAGTTAGTCACCTTAATAAGTAGGTAGGGACTGGAAAATGAGTATAGCTTTGTATTTGAGAGTCTAAGTCTGATCTTTTTTGGTCATCAGGTATTATTACTTAAGAATTTACAAGTGCAGAGGAAGCTGAGGTTTTTGGTGCTCTAATATAATCAAACACCTGTTGAATGCAGTATTTAGAAGTAGAAGCAATCTCTGTGAACATACAGAGTTTTCTCATTTAATAGGAGAAAATCGAGGCCCAGAAACAGTCAGTATTGGCTCGCCTTAGGTCCTCTGGCTTAGGTAGTGCCAGAACCTGAACTGGAAATGAGATCCCAAAGGTTCTTTCTGTTCTGCTCAGGTTGTCTGTGGGCATCTTTATATGGTTTGGTAGTATTTCCTGGTTTGCATGAAAATGATTTCTCTTATGTGGTAAGGAGAGATATATGTGTGTATGCATCCCTCCTTCCCCCTTTAGTGGGAAGAACCAAGGCAATTGGTTGGCAAAATTTGCAGTGGAATGTTATAGGGAAAGAAAATTAGTTCTATTCTTCAGAACAGTTATTCTGAGTTCATGCGTTGTTAGTATCAGGTATCAAGGTGTCTTCTTTCTGGCAAGTGGAAAAGACAGAGGATCTTTATAACACATGTCTCACTGAATGTTTGCTAATACGTTTGAGAAGCTGTATTAATAACTTTGCTCCTGCAAAATAAATTTCTCTAAGCTGTTTGTGATTTCATCGTTCTGTTATCCTAGAGGCCTGGTGCATGAAACCTGTGCACGGGTAGGGTCCCTAGGCCTGGCCAGAGCCAATTGGGGCCTTCCGGCTGCTGGCTGGGGCCTTCCTTCCCAGGCTACCATGTGCCAGCTGGGGCCTCCCTTCCCTGGATGCCATCTGGGGACTTCCTTCATTCCACGCCGCCCACTGGTGGTCAGAGCACGTCATAGCAAGGGATCAAACTCCAGGTCTCCCAGTCAAACTCCCAAGGGGGGACACTTTGCATATGCATTTGGGGGGGGTGGGCATCCCTCAGCCAAGCCTGCACCTTCTCCAGTCTGGGATCCCTCTCACAATCTGGGACTGCTGGCTCCTAACTGCTCACCTGCCTACCTGCCTGATTGCCCCTAACCACTCTGCCTGCTGGCCTGATCAATCCCAACTGCCCCCCCCCCCCTTTTTGGCCTCATCACCCCTAACTGCCCACCCCTGCTGGACTGATTGCCCCCAACTTCCCCCACACACATACTGGTCTGCTCGCCCCCAACTGCTCCCCCTCCCCCCACTCTAACCACCTCTGCTTCAGCACTGCCACCATGGCTTTGTCCAGAAGGATATCCGGAAGATCTCCAGAAGGTCACGTGGTCTAATTAGCATATTACTCTTTTATTAGTATACATTATTTCTTAATCTGTGGAGTCATTTCTGTGATTATTTCATTCTGGATAAATAGCCACTGTAGAAGAGTTAATTGTCTTGTTGGAAACTTTTTGCTTCCCATTGATTGCACAAAACCTGTTTACTCTCTCCCCTTTCTTGGAGATTGTAAGGTCAGGAACTAATTTTCATTGCTGTTTTTTGCCTACATGCTCTTTGTTGCTCTCGCTTAAACTCCAGATTAGAGACGCAAACAAACAATGAATTGAATTGATAACTTTTTTGTTGTGTTAGTTAAAAATCTGTTTCCACAGAGACTTGCATATATTTTGGAGGTAAACTTTTAAGGAGTTTATTGCTTGAAGAAACTCCTTATTTGTCTGGAAAAGCAACTTTGTGTAGAGTGTGCTGAATTGATACTGTGTGTTATGTAAACCCTTATTTAAACTCATTAAAAAAATATGCCTCTTGAAGGTTTTGGAACTTTGAATAGGTTATACTTTTCTGTGTTAGATAAAAGATGATGCTTAAAGTTTAAGGTATTTTTAAGTTAAGCAAGAGCAACCTATTGAGCAATCCTGTATCAGCTGGTGTAACTATAATTGCTATGGAGTTTGTCAGTAGTATTCCAGAAATACATATCTTTGTGGTATTTTCTCTTGTTCTTCAGGTTCATTAATAATAATAACCTTGGTCTTTATAAATTTTTCTAAAAGGACCGGGTGGATAGTGATAAGAGTCAAGGCCATGAAGCTAAATTGCCTTGGTTCAAATTCCATCTCTACTACTGTGCAACCCTTGGGCTAGTTACTTAGCCTTTTACAATCTCAATTTCCTCCTTGAGAGTGTAGTCAGTACCTTTCTTGTTAGGGTTAAATAAACAGATATAAGTAAAGCATTGAGAATAGTGCCTGACATTTAGTTACCCGTGATTATTATCATCAGTGTCATCATCATGTGCCTACTGAGCAGTTGCTAAGAACTCTTTCCCAACCCTCTTCCGAAAGCAGGTCCTTATGCTGCTGCCTAATTGATTATTGTTTGCTTATTATTAATTGTCAGTAAATTAATGTATTTATACACGAAATTTCATTTTGTGAATGTTTTACAATGTGAGATTCTTAACAAAACGAGGCATTCCTGTAGGTATTATTCTTAACAGTTTACATTGTAGGGATTCAGAATGAGTCACACAAGTTGTGCCTTTGTGGTATGCAGATTATTTTCAGCTAAAGATAACTGAGACCCTGCAGGATTGAGAAACTTCTGCCACCTTGTCCCACTTAACTACCTAGAAGTATTTGAATTAGAGGCCTTGCCCATAATAGGAGATTATCAGAAATAACCTATTTTTACCTATATATATGGCAGGGCAAACTACCAGTTACTGAATATCTGCTGTAACCATCTTGCAGGTGACTCAAGCCCCAAGATGCTTTACTTACCTCATCTTAAGCTCAAAATTTCATATATTCTTCATTTTCCCTTTCTGCCTCCGAACCTTTTATGTATGTGGGGACTCGGATTCTCTGATATATATGGGCTTTCCATGCCCATGAAATTAAAATTGATTTTTCTCTTGTTAATCTGTCTAGTGTTAATTTGATTATTCAGTCAGCCAAAAAGAACCAGAAGAGAGAAGGGAGAATTTTTCCCTTATGCCACATTATCTGTGTAAGTCATAACATGGAATTTGAGAATTGAAATTTGGGGGTTTGATGTTTAAGAATGTCTTCCAGCACTTACTTTCTTTGCATGGAAAGATCATGCTGCAGTGATATCTGTTGCCATATCTGTTCATTCATCCAATCAGTGAACAAAATACTTTGTGTCCCAGGTTCTGGGGAAAACAGTGGGAGACAAAAACAAACAGATACTTTAGTCGGGTACCTGATAGAGAAAAACATAAATAAGTGAAAGAATAAACACAGTATAATAAAACATTTTTAAATTTATTTTAGAGAGAGAGAAACATTGACTTGTTCTACCCATTCATGCACTCATTGGCTGATTTCTGTATGTGCCCTGACTGGGGATGGAACCTGCCACCTTTTGGTAGGACAACCCTCCAACCAACTGAGTCACCCAGACAGGGCTATTCAGAATTCTTTTAAGAAATGTTCAGCTCTGTCAAATGCTGCTTGCTCTGTGGTCTAGAAGAAGACAGAATAAAGACAAATAAAGTTGAATTGGTTGATCTGACTAGCCACTTCTTCACTTATTGTTGAATCTGTTTTCTTCCAGAAATTTTCAAGTCTCCACATTGCGAAAGCCATATAATCAAGAGAGTGTACAAGGTTCTCCTGCCCCTTTTAAGTTTTGAGAATCTACTGAGTAGGAGATTTTAGCACTGCTATGTGCACAGGAATATTATTTAATTTATACAAAACTAATGTCTTGGTGCACAGATTTATGCACATTGAA